CCTTAACTTAACATTGCCTTAACATACCCATAACTTAACATACCCTTAACTTAACATTTAACCATCTATAACATTAACAGAATATAAAGTTAACATAACATAATTTTAATTTAGCCTTAACATAACATTTTAGGTAATATAACACTGACATGATATAACCTTATCCTAACTTAACGCTAACTTAATAATAATAATAATAATAATAATAATAATAATAATAATAATAATAATAATAATAATAATAATAATAATAATAATAATAATAATAATAATAATAATAATAATAATAATAATAATAATAATAAAGAACTATAAAGAATAAAATATCAATAGTGAGAAACGCTATATGTATGTTGTGTTGTCAATAGTAAGAGAAACAATTGAGACCCTGCAATTGTGTAAATGAGGCAGAAAGTCAGATCATCAACCTGGGACTTGGTCACATATGGCAGCAGGGTCTATCATTAGACAACACGTGATGCTTCCAATATCTTCCCAGGCGGTAGTACCTCCCTGTTTGATAGCTGCCTGCTACTTACTGCACTGGCCTAACACAACAACAAAGTAATGATGCATTAACAAAATTACTTGACTTTCTTTAATAAAGTTTAACACAACCTTTCACACAGCCCTATGAACAGTCTCAGTCCAAGACAATGATCATTTTCATTTTATGACTCGGTTTAAATTAACCAAAAGAAAATTACAATTCACAGTACAGTAACTTCAGTGACTCCCTTATACAGAATACAATCCTATATATATATATATATATATATATATATATATATATATATATATATATATATATATATATATATATATATATATATATATATATATATATATATATATATATATATTTCATGTAAATCCACAATGAAAACGTGGATAAGATAAATCTTGATAAAATCACACGGGAAAATGGAAACAACGGAGTACCTTAGCTTTCGTCTTTATTCAAGATATATATATATATATATGAATGATTTGGTTTAATTATAGCCTACTACAGTACTGTACATAAACTTTATAGTACGATAAATGTTCTATAAACTGTACCATAGTTCAGTGTTGCAGAGTAACATTTTAAACAACTGATAAGTTACATATTTCCTGTAGTACAGTAAAGGTAATAAGGGACTAGGAGTGTAAGGTTGGCCTTCTGCCAGTACTACTGTACAATATCTTCCACTATTACGGTCAGTCATCTGTTTCTCTCGGGGATATTATTCACTATCTATAACACCAGTCTGCAGGTAAAGGAGGAGGCAGAATCTCTCCAAGTGTTTACAGAGCGGCCACAAGCCTCATCCCACACAGTAATATGTGGCTCTCCACCCCACACGACTGACTTATTTTCCCACACTTTCCATCTTTTGGGACCTGCTGAGACCTGTGTCTCTTAAATACCATATTTGACCTATTGCTGAGTCCCAGTGCACAGCATTCTGGCATAAGAGAAAAAACAAAAACAAAACAATCACTCATCCATCCACCCAAAACAACAGTCAGATGCTGTGTGTGTGTGGGTGGCAACAAAGAGGCGCCCAGGCAGTGATCACGTGATTTCATTTTACGGGACTCTATGGGTGACAAGGGGGGCGTGGGAGGGAGCAGGAAGAGGGGGCGTGGGAGGGGGAGGAGGAAGAAGGGGCGTGGGAGGGGGTAGGAAGAGGGTAGGAGGGTCTTCTGGTGTTGCGAAATAACTCATCATGCTTTAACTTCATTTTTATTTTATTTTTTAATGGGGTTTCGAGTTGTTGCGATGAACGCGCGCGTGTGTGTGTGTGTGTGAGAGAGAGAGAGAGAGAGAGAGAGAGAGTATGGAGTTAGAGTAAGATAGGAATAGGATTATAATAAATGGTGAAAGAGGGAGAGAAACAGACAGAGACAGAGACAGAGAGCGTGAGGCACTTGACGTCTGCCACTGGGTGTAAGTGAGGAAGAGCATCATGATGTAAACATTGGCTATCAGGCAGTAAACCCTGGGTACGAACTTGCCCTGCCCTGCCCTGCCCTGCCCTGGCCCTGCCCTGCCCTGCCCTGCCTGCCCTGCCCTGCCCTGCCCTGCCCTGCCCCCCCTGCCCTGCCCTGCCCTGCCCTGCCCTGCCCTGCCCTTACTTGTTTTTCAATATAGGTTTATTAGTTTTATTCATAATTAATATTTACAATAGGGAAGGTTCTTTGCTCCAGATATAAATCTTATCGTCTGCTACAGGGTGGACGATGAAGAATTTACACAAGTGTGGTTAAAGTCTTGTGAATGTGCTTGTTTTGTTTGTCGTCCACCCTGTACAGTACAGTAGGTAGGATCAAGGTCCCTTGGAATTCTCGGAGCGCGTGACGTCACTAACGCAAGGACATCATCACTTGGGTCCACTGCCGCAAGAAACGAGGTTTACTTAATTAAAGTCACTGGGATCAGCAACTATTTTTTTCTCATATAGTTTACTAAAAATATTTTCAGCTCCCTTTGTGCTAAATTGATATCCAAACTAATTTTTCTAGCTAAGAATGTACTGTACTTAGAAAGGAGTTCTCAATCAGGGGATCGCAACCCCCCTGGGGTATTCAGGGGGGGGGGGGGTAGTGGGTACATTGAGGGCTGACGAAAATCAATATAGAATGTACTAATTTCACCAGAGTTAAACCATGAGGTGATATAAATTTAATGTTATATTTACAAAATGGAAAATAGCTCTTCTCTTTAAGCACTAAATGTGTTTTAACACTGCCTTTCTATATTGAATTAGCGTTAATATAGTACCATTCTATATCCAGTGTCTCAGTAATAAGGGTACGGTTCGCTGGTCTGATAACTCAGGCGGTACCTGGTGAGAAAAGTTGGAGAACCCCTGCATGAGCTGGACCTTGGCACTATAATGCGTTTTTTCTCAGCTGAGAAAAAATTCCCCCTCCCCCTCCCCAAGAGTTACAGCTGATTGACAGTTGCAAACCTGTTCGATTTTGTCCTGAAGTAATAATGTATTTCTAAATGAGTTTATTCATAATCGTTGGGATGACCGTGTCTGACGAGAAAGATATTTAGCTAAATTATATAAGGATACATACATTCATTATTTCAAATATAAGCACTTAGGAAGTTTATCAGAAGTTTTATACACGAATTAACTTTTCTCTTTTTTTCTTTTTTTTTATTGGGCACTCCCCTACATCCTGTGTAAGGTGAAGAGCAGAAGCGTTTACAGCTCCCAACAGGGAAGCATGCTAAGTTCATGCTTGCCTTTATGTCTCATGAGTTAAGGGCGTAGAAGCCTAATTAGTGCCGGATTAAGACCTGTGGAGGCCCATGGGCAGCCTCTTTGTGGAGGCCCCCCCTCATTATAACTACCCAAGAGGGTGGGGTGGCGAGTGAAGCGAGCCTAAACATCTGGGAGTTCCGGGGGGCTTACAGCGCCCCCCGGGAAAATTTTGAAATTTGAACATTGAGAGGCGACGACTTCACTCAACAAGCTCACATGACAATTCTCTCTCTCATTTTACATCTGCAAGACATGTTTATGTCTACTCGTGGGAATTCACGAATCATGGGCGGCGTAAGTCTCCTCTTTAATCAACAGACACATGACAACCGATGTGCAGATACTACACGACCCAACTCCCTCCGACCGACTGTTAACAAACACAGCGCCCTGATGGCATTCGTCATGGAAGTGATAATGAAAAAAATATTTTATTTGTTTTTTTTTTAATCTCAATTTCGTTATTCCATGTAGTTCATTTTTAATCAATATATGTTTGTGGAATTCTAAATATATTATTAGCAACACAAACAATAGCATTCATTAAAAATATACCATTCAAAGGAAACCAGGTATTCATGAATATCAAGGAGTAGCCAGCCTAATTTCTATCATGCTTCTTGCTGAACATACAGTAGTTTTACGTGATGGAAAAGATAAACATGAATTTTAAAGAATGAAAATAAAAATAATCCAAATGAATAAACAAATAAATAAAATATTGTAATATGTGGAGGCCCCCAGATTGTGGAGGCCCCCAGATTGTGGAGGCCCCCAGATTGTGGAGGCCCCTGGGCAACTGCCCACTTTGCCCACTCCTGAATCCGGCCCTGGCCTGAAGAGTCAATAGTTTTTGTCATCAAGTCGGCTACACAGCGACAAACAGCGTTTGTAGGGGAGAAATCCACTACAAGACAACAATAAAAAACACATTTAATGACGTAACGAAGAATTAAACCACCAAATTTAACAAGTTACGTCAAATGTTATCCAATCATTAAAGTTGAGCGAAATGTTGTCACTTTTGATGGACGTCAAGCGAGATACTGTACACCAAGTTTATGATTAATGATGTGTGTGTGGGGGGGGGGGGGGCGCTTCTCTCACTAATGACCATCAGGCGAGGTTGACAAAGGATTCTACGATCACTGCTCGTCCTAAAAGAACGGTGGAAGAAAAAAAGAGACGCTTGGTGTTCAGTTCCATTAAAATTGGTTCATTGTCTTTTGAAATGCATGTCGGCACAACCATACATACATATATATGCTCAATTAAACAACAAATATCAAGTTGATTTTTTATTCCACATAATTACAACGAACTTTAGACACTTACAGAGTTACAAATGATCATAATTACCTCCAGGCTAATTAGTCAACCGTAATTAGTGTTATGTAAGAGTAATATAAATTATGATTGTATTTGAATTGTATAATATATATCATATTTAACAATGGTTATAATTACTAGTCATATATAAAATTAGACTTTGATTTTAGTGATCTATTCGTCTTTACTATTTATCTATTATCTATCTGTTTATGTATCTATTTGTCTGTCTATCTGTCTGTCTGTCTGTCTATATTATGTGTGTGTAAATATGCTGAGAAAAGAAAATAGCAGAATAAAAGAGAAAGACAGACAGACAGATGAAGAAGTAAAGACAAAGAAAACAGAGACGAATAGACAGTGAGACAGAAAGACAGACATAGACAGATATAGACAGATAAAGAAGCAAAGAGAGAGAGAAAAAATTAGAAATGCAGAAAAACAGTAAAACACACAGAAACAGAGAGACAGGCAGTCCTTAGTCCAGTATGCTCAGCTGGTCGCCCTCCTGTACAGCTGGTTCAAGATACTCGTTCAGGTCACCTCGTCGAGCACCCAGCACCCACAACCCCTCCCCTCCTGCAGCCTCGCTCCTGTAGGGGGTAGTGTGATGGTTACTACTACTACTATTGCTGCTAGTACTACTGCTATTACTACTATTGCTGCTACTACTACTACTACTTTTTTTTAAATTCGCCTCCATCCTCCCCTTATAGCCATACCTTCGCCGCCATTTTATGACCTTAATATTAAATATCCTAATACATAAGTAGCTACCCTAGCTGTGTTGACTTAGAAGAGCTGCAGATCTATGCCACATTCAGTGACTGTTGCCTCATAGTCAATATCTGCAACTGTTGTCGGCTTTGGGGCCGATGCTCTCGTTCCCCTGAGACAGAGCAAAGCCGACCGAAGGAGAGAGAAGAACAGTCGACATCTCATCCAGGTTGTAACATAACTTCTGGGCTGCTGCTTCTGTTCGGAGATCACCTCCGCGAGTCTGGCGTAGAAGCATCTTGCACTTAGTCCCATCCCACCAGAGGTTATGAACACTAGAGAAGTGAAGCTGCCTTGATCAACGTTTTGAATTCTCTCCCCATATGCCCTTATCTTGTCGTTCTCGTTCCTCCTGTGTGCAGCATCGAGAGCTAAGTTACGGTGACATGCGGCCATGGGATAAAAAATCCTGATGTCGAAGAAAGCTCGCTGTCCCAGCGTCCAGAATCCTCGAGCACTGACGTCATCACGGGCTTCGTTGGATGCGTTTGAAGTCCTATGTTGGAAGATCTCACCATCCAGTGGAAGGAGGGTCGGTTCTACGTTGACATCACGGCAGATTTCCTTCACTACTACTACTACTACTGCTGCTGCTGCTGCTGCTACTACTACAACTACTACTACTACTAATAATAATGATAATAGTAATAATAATAATAATACAGGGGTAATAATAATAATAATAATATTAATAATAATAATAATAATAATAATAATAATAATAATAATAATAATAATAAAATGAGTACACTAATTTCGTCCTTAACTATCAGTGTTTATGGCCAGACACAATACCCACCAGGTGTACTTTACTTACTGCGACACATAGGTGAGGGGTGGGAGAGTGTCACACCAAGCACTCATGGTGTTGGTCAGGCTCATGGGTGGCACCGTCCTGCACATTAACCCAGAGTTCTCACGCACCACACCTGTAATGACACACCTGTTGGTACTATACTAGGTTATGATCCTACCTAACCTAACCTAATCTAACCTAACCTGATCCAACCAAACCAACGTAACCCAAACCAAAGCCCCCCCCATACGCGCACACACACACACACGCACACACACACACACACACACACACACACACACATACACACGCACACACACAACACACACACACACACACACACACACACACTCAAAAAACATCCATCAATTACTGTACCAGACAAAGGAGTCATCGTGTTGCTCTTCCTCCTCCTCGATATCTTCCGCTGCTCCACGACTTCCTCCCCTTGTTGGAACTGTAGCTGACGTTGTTGTTCCTCATACTCGAGTCCCACTTGACCCCGGAACAGCCTGGTGACCTCAGTGTGGATGACAGGCCGGTCTCGTCTCCTGAACACTATCCACACGAAGAGTTCCGCCGCCTCGTACAGCCACTCAAATATCTCGTTGTCTCGTTTACCGTAGCTCTGTAGACTGTGTCCCCGCTGTGATGTGGTACAGAGAGACGTCTGGTGAGTATGTGTGGGTGTTGGTGTTGGAAGGTGTGATGGTGTGTCCTCTCTCCCAGCCTCTCTCTCTCTCTCTCACCTTCATATGATGCAGGTTGTTCAGGCCGTGACCCAGTATGACCTGACCATAGGAGGCGGCCAGAGGTTGTAACACCGCCTGGAGTCTCTCTCGCCACCTTAACTCCAGCACCCGCTTGTTACCCACAGCAGGGGGCTCGATCCCTCGTATAAGGTCCGCCTGCAGGAACAGCTCTCTGAAGTACTCCACCAGGCCTCTCAGTAGCTCCTGCACCTGGAGGAGATTAAGATACATTGAAGGAGGAAGAGGAGCCGGATAACAAGGAGAAATCAGTTAGTTAGTTAGTTCGTTTATGGTTAGGTTAAGTTAGGTTAGGTTTGAATCTTTGTCAGTTTACAGTAGACTCACCTTCTGAAGCTTGACCACATCGAGGAACATCTTGGTGAAGGTGGTCTGGGTGGCCTGGAGGTGGAGGGTGACCTTGAGGCAGTGAGTGAAGGTGACGGGCGCCTCTGGTTGACTCTCCCAGTCCTCGGGGTCCAGGCGGCCATACTCAGCCTCCACTATCCGCCTAGACTGTAGGAGTTGTCTGAGGGAGCAGGAGGGCGTCAGGCTAGCTAGTGTGGCAACCTAACCTAACATAACCTCACCTAACCTAACATGACCTAACCTAACCTAACATAACCTCACCTAACCTAACATGACCTAACCTAAGATAACTTAACCTAACCTTACATACCTTAACCTAACATAACTTGACCTAAGCTATACATTTAAGAGAGATGATTAAGACAAAATACTACCTTACCGAACCTTATTAACTAGTGTAAAATTATCACTCCTCTGTGCGTGTGTGTGTGTGTGTGTGTGTGTGTGTGTATGTGTGTGTGAAATAGAGGTATAAAGTAATATTATCTCACTAGGTCCCTTATGGTGAGGAAGATCTCTCACCTGTTGATGTGTTTCTGGCCAGGAGGGGCAGAGAAACGGCGAGAGGTGGAGGAGGATGCCGAGGGGCTGGCTGGACGTCCATCTTGTCTGTTAGGTAGTGTAGGTTAAGGTAGGTTAGAGTAGGTTAGGGTAGGTTAGGGTAGGTTAGGGTAGGTTAGGTTAGGTTAGGTTAGGTTAGGGTAGGTTAGGGTAGGTTAGGGTAGGGTAGGGTAGGTTAGGTTAGGTTAGGGTAGGTTAGGTTAGGTAAGTCGTAAAAAATATTATTTATCATTAGTTCCCGTACAATTGTTATATATAAATCAACAGTTAATATAATATGTTTACACTATGTCTTTCATATTTTTGTTTATGCACCGACAAAATATCAAAATATAATGATAGATTATTATAAGTGAGACCAAGACAGTAATGTGCAGGGGTATACAAACAGTGTACCCAGACTTTTTTTATTACGGGGATTAGCCCGCCTGAACACAGGTCACTGACCCAGGGAGGCGAAAATATAATAATAATAATAATAATAATAATAATAATAATAATAATAATAATAATAATAATAATAATAATAATAATAATAATAATAATAATAATAATAATAATAATAATAATAATAAAACTACTACTATTACTAATAATAAAACTACTACTATTACTAATAATAATAATATTTAATAAAAATAGATAAAAATTATAACCAAAAAATTTAAATATTAATAATAATAACCATAAATAAATACACAAACAAAAAATAAATCAAGAGTGAGAAACGATATACAATATATGTATGTTGTGTTGTTAATAGTAAGAGAAACAATTGAGACCCTGCAATTGTGTGTGAATGAGGCAGGAAGTCAGATCAGCAACCTGGGACTTGGTCACAATTTTTGTGATGCCAAATGGCAGCAGGGTCTACCATAGACAACACATTATGCTTCCAATATCTTTCCAAGCGGTAGTACTGTAGTGGATTCCTCCCCTACAAACGCTTGTCGCTGAGTAGCCGACCCCGCGAATTTCCCAGTGTATGCCTCGTGGTCTAGGTCAACCAGCGCCGCCTTACATGACGGAGGTCAACTATTAAGCCACGCCTACCTCCGCTATATAAGACCTGACCTCGTGGTGACCTGTCTCTTTTCTACCTACCCCAACCAGCAAGCAACACCTCCTCCTCAGGCCCGGATTATCCATTAGGCACAGTAGGCACAGTGCCTAGGGCCTACGAGATATTGGGGGCCTACGAAAAATAAAACGAGAACTTTTCTTCCCCTTTTTCTACAGGTTATTATTAAATTGATACTGAGGTACTTTTTTTTCATTTATTTATTACTTAATCCTATTAGTGTCCACCAGCTAGCTGTGCTTCTTGTAAACAAATATATTTCTGTACTGTATAACAACAGCTGATCTAACCCATTTTCTTTGACTCGATTCATGGCAAACATTACTGAATCTTATTCTTTCGACATCACATTTTATAATTAGGTACTAGCTTGTGTTATTGGTGAATATGCTGTCAAATGGGGCCCCATATCTTGGAGGTGCCTAAGGCCTACGAAAGTCTTAACCCGGCACTGCTCCTCCTCCTCCTCCTGCCTGGCGGCCCTCGCTCCCGCCAGCGAGCATGGCGACCCACAAGCTGGTCCTCCTCTGAGAATCCTCACCAACCAGCTCTCTCTACATCACGCTGCCACTTCCCAGCACCAAGCTGCACTGTACATCCAATACAATATGTATACAGAGAGCACATTGTGAGTTTCCTTTCTCCATCCCATCCTGAGTGTGAACCAACAACCCGTACCCCACAGCACCTCCCTGTTTGATGGCTGCCTACTACCTACTAGTGTAGGTATATACAAACAATGTACGTAGACCATGTAAGTATAACATTGTAAATGTAGACAGTGCAGCAGGTATACAAACAATGGTTAAATAGTAAGACAATTCAACCAAGGACAAACCAACCAACCAAGCAGATGTTCCCCAGGCAGTACTGTTCACGTTAAGTTCATTTATTTAAGTCACTTCACAAAACATTACCTAATCTTGACTAATTCTCCACGATGGTCATTCCACACCCAGCTCTTTGATTTGGGGCTGTTATCTCTTTCACTGTTCATATTTTCTACAGTATGGTGCGGCTGGGGTCGTGTGTGTGGTGCTGGGAGGACGCCGTCACCATGGTAACCCTCGCCACCAAAATATTATCAAACGCCACAATTTGATCTGTGATGATATGAAAGAAAAAACGTCTAATATAATTAATAATGTAATATTTGATCAATACTTTCACGTGGAAATGTTATGTAATGTTATTTATTGAATATTGAAGCGAAAATGACGCCTAAACAATATTGGAGTATGTCAGAGATTTATTCAAGCACAAAGCAAGGTCACCCTATTTTAATTTAGGTATTAATTTATTGTTACATAAGTATTAATTATGTACTTAGATATTTTATTGAAGCCCAATAACAAAATCATAACTACAATGTTGTAAAGGCTTTGGGTGTCTCGTGATTCCCGATGTTTGACCCCTTGTGTACGGCAGTTTATCTTTTTTTTTTTTTACTTTTATTCTATTCACCACTGATCGGCTCGTTAGCAGCTTGGGTGATCGGTCACGTCTCTGTTACTAACTGTTGGCAAATACTGGGCATGCACCGGCTCCTGAATGTACCTGAACCTGCTTCAGTGTTGGTCAAGTCTGGTCTTGAAAGAACTCACACTCGGTGACGTCATAACACTTTCTGGCAGATTGTTTGGATGTCTCTTGGCGTGTCTGGATGTGTCTTGGCGTGGTCTGGATGTCTCTTGGTGTGTCTGGGTGTCTCTTGGCGTGTCTGGATGTGTCTTGGCGTGTCTGGGTGTCTTGGCGTGTCTGGATGCTTCTTGGCGTGTCTGGATGTCTCTTGGTGTGTCTGGGTGTCTCTTAGCGTGTCTGGATGCTTCTTGGCGTGTCTGGATGTGTCTTCTTGGTGTGTCTGGATGTGTCTTGGCGTGTCTGGATGTCTCTTGGTGTGTCTGGGTGTCTCTTGGCGTGTCTGGATGCTTTGGCGTGTCTGGATGTCTCTGATGATGTGTCTGGATGTGTCTTGGCGTGTCTGGATGTGTCTTGGCGTGTCTGGATGTGTCTTGGCGTGTCTGGATGTGTCTTGCGTGTCTGGATGTCTCTTGGCGTGTCTTGGATGTCTTGATGCTTCTTGGCGTGTCTGGATGTGTCTTGGTGTGTCTGAATGTGTCTTGGCGTGTCTGGATGTCTCTTGGTGTGTCTGGGTGTCTCTTGGCGTGTCTGGATGTCTCTTGGCGTGTCTGGATGTGTAATATAATAGCTTTAGGCAGTCACGAAAATTGCGACCAAGTCCCAGGTTGCTGATCTGACTTTCTGCCTCATTTACACACAATTGCTGGGTCTCAATTGTTTCTCTTACTTTAACAACACAACACACATAATGTATACCGTTTCTCATTATTGATTTATTTTTCTCGTTTTTGTATTTATTTATGATTATTATTAGTAGTAGTAGTACATTATTTTTATTTTTAGTACAGGTATTTTGTTATTATTCTTTGAATTATTATAATAATAATTTCTATTATTATTATTATCATTATCATTATCATTATCATTACTATCATGTTTTCGCCCCCCAGGCCCTGATGTGGGTCAGTGACCTGTGCCCGGGTGGGCTAATCCCCGTAAAAAAAAAAATCAACGACTGATCCAGGGGTCCTGGGGTTCGGACCCAGTTTTCATCAGAAAATTCCAATACTTTGTCTTTAATGCAGTATTGTATTCAGACAGTTTTGTACAGAAAAATTTACTATTGACCCCAGAATATCTCTTAATATCAAGTGCACATGGCTTCAAAATGGCCTCCAAATGCCCATGATATTGTTCAGATTTCAAACCCCAGCTGGGAGGGTTGGCTGTGCTCGCCATGTTCCACCAACCAAAGCTTCTTGGACCCCCCTCCCTCATTTTTATATTCCTGGATCCGCCCTGGAAATACAACGCACTCCGGTGTACTATGTGTTTGGTAGTAATGAAATATATTCACAAACGTTTAAGGTCGTAATAAGAGATACAATAATGAGAGTTTGAGGTAGAAATAAGAGACAAACAGAAGCTAAATAAGTATAAGGTTATAAGAACATAAGAACATAAGGAGTCTGCAATAGGCCGGTTGGTCTGTGCATGGCAGCTCCTGTCGAGAGTTACTACCACTCTCTATCATCCATGAATCTGTCCAACCTCCTTTTTAAAACTTTCCAGCGTTCCAGCACTTACTACAAAGTTGCTAAGCTTGTTCTCATCGTCCAGTACTTACTACAAAGTTGCTAAGCTTGTTCTCATCGTTCAGTACTTACTACAAAGTTGCTAAGCTTGTTCTCATCGTTCAGCACTTACTACAAAGTTGCTAAGCTTGTTCTCATCGTCCAGCACTTACTACAAAGTTGCTAAGCTTGTTCTCATCGTCCAGTACTTACTACAAAGTTGCTAAGCTTGTTCTCATCGTCCAGTACTTACTACAAAGTTGCTAAGCTTGTTCTCATCGTTCAGTACTTACTACAAAGTTGCTAAGCTTGTTCTCATCGTTCCAGCACTTACTACAAAGTTGCTAAGCTTGTTCTCATCGTCCAGCACTTACTACAAAGTTGCTAAGCTTGTTCTCATCGTCCAGTACTTACTACAAAGTTGCTAAGCTTGTTCTCATCGTTCAGTACTTACTACAAAGTTACTAAGCTTGTTCTCATCGTCCAGCACTTACTACAAAGTTGCTAAGCTTGTTCTCATCGTCCAGTACTTACTACAAAGTTGCTAAGCTTGTTCTCATCGTTCCAGCACTTACTACAAAGTTGCTAAGCTTGTTCTCATCGTTCCAGCACTTACTACAAAGTTACTAAGCTTGTTCTCATCGTTCAGTACTTACTACAAAGTTGCTAAGCTTATTCTCATCGTCCAGTACTTACTACAAAGTTACTAAGCTTGTTCTCATCGTTCCAGCACTTACTACAAAGTTGCTAAGCTTGTTCTCATCGTTCCAGCACTTACTACAAAGTTACTAAATCCAGTACTTACTACAAAGTTACTAAGCATGTTCTCATCGTTCTACACTAAGCTTGTTCTCATTCCAGCACTTACTACAAAAGTTACTAAGCGTTCTCATCGTTCAGTACTTACTACAAAGTTACTAAAGCTTGCTCATCGTCCAGCACTTACTACAAAAGTTACAAGCTTGTCATCGTTTACTACAAAGTTACTAAGCGTTCTCATTCACTTACTACAAAGTTACTAAGCCCAGCACTTACACAAAGTTACTAAGCTTATTCTCATCGTCCAGCACTTACTACAAAGTTACTAAGCTTGTTCTCATCGTCCAGCACTTACTACAAAGTTACTAAGCTTGTTCTCATCGTTCCAGCACTTACTACAAAGTTACTAAGCTTGTTCTCATCGTTCAGTACTTACTACAAAGTTGCTAAGCTTGTTCTCATCGTTCCAGCACTTACTACAAAGTTGCTAAGCTTGTTCTCATCGTTCAGTACTTACTACAAAGTTGCTAAGCTTGTTCTCATCGTCCAGTACTTACTACAAAGTTACTAAGCTTATTCTCATCGTCCAGTACTTACTACAAAGTTACTAAGCTTGTTCTCATCGTCCAGTACTTACTACAAAGTTACTAAGCTTATTCTCATCGTTCAGTACTTACTACAAAGTTACTAAGCTTGTTGTCATCGTCCAGCACTTACTACAAAGTTACTAAGCTTATTCTCATCGTCCAGTACTTACTACAAAGTTACTAAGCTTGTTGTCATCGTTCAGTACTTACTACAAAGTTACTAAGCTTGTTCTCATCATTCAGCACTTACTACAAAGTTACTAAGCTTATTCTCATCGTCCAGCACTTACTACAAAGTTACTAAGCTTATTCTCATCATTCAGCTTATAGACCCGGGGTATCTATTATATCTGGTGTTAATAAAAAAATATATCATTATAATTTTAGATATAAATAATAGAGTTTTATAAAGGAATAATAAGTAAGATTATATAATAGTGTTAATATAATAGTTTTAGGCAGACTTGGGCCAGAGTGTTTACAGTCAGTGATGGCGGGCACTCGTGTCTCGTGTGGCTTGGAGTTTTCTAATGTTTATGAGCTTAATGACAGCCTTCAGGACTCGTCAAGAGCTGGGTGAGTTATTATTGGTTATTTAGTAGTAGTTGTGGTTATTTTGTGTACATGAGGAGGTTGTGATGTGGTTATATAATGTGGAATTTAGCTTGGAGTGAACTCGTTAAATTATGTGTTATTAATGAGGGTCTATGTTGGTATTTACTGGAGGTTATGATGTTTTTATTTAATTGAATTATACTTAATTTTTATTTCGGGAAAGTATGTTAAGAAGTTGTTATTGCTGGAGTTATTTTATGTTATAAGTAGAAGTGAAGCATTTTGATGAACCACGAGTCTTGTCAGTTATTATGTCTTGTCTTAACTACGTCAACCATCTAACTACCTGCTGTACCAGACTACATCAATTAAAATAAGGTGATATTTGACGAAAGTGGTCCGGCATTAGCAGCAACCAGATGAAATTTCGGTCATTGATGATAATAGCCAGGTTTCAATTTTTCCATAAAAAAATACAAATTTCAAAAAATATAAAGTCGTTATTCCTGTGGTTCTTGTGATTAGAACGAATTAGACCTTCTTTTCTAGTGCTAACCTAACCGAAACCTGGCTACTATCCTAAATTGACCCCGGCTAAGTCTCTACAAATGCTATTTTACCATGAGTGCGCTCTTATTGGCTACGCGTCCATTACCAGCGAACAACTCGAGAACTATATGTGACCGTGACTGGCGGGTTAGGGTCATCTCGTACCCAAGACAAATTGTATCCAAAGTAGTCAACTCGTATCCAAGATACAGTATATCGTGATTTTTTTTTAATGTCTCAAAAGTATTTCAAAATTTTACCAAATATTAGGAAATTTGTAATATATATGTAACCGGTCAGGAATTTACTCACTTGTCTTGGGGTTTTTATTATTAGTGGATGGTAATGCAGTGGAAGCGCCCCTTGGAGAAAAACCCGAACCAGCACAAACACGCTTAACTTAAAACAATATTCTCCGTGACCCGTGGAAAGATAACACCTGTGATTTGGGTGAATCAGACGCACTGTAAAATTTGACACTTCTATTCCCTCCAACACTACAACTACAATCAATAATAGTACACCAACATATGCGCACCTCTTAGCCTGGCTTAAGACACTACACTGGGGAACAAAGGTTATACAAGATATCAAAATTAGGTAGAAAATATTAATGCCTTATGAAACACTACTAAGGTAACAGTGCTACTTACACCAGAATGAGGAACTCATCTGAAAACAGTTCCTCGTTATCTCACATCCCTTAGTGACACGTAATCATTAGAACACAATACTATCAAGCACTGGGGAAATGGCATGAAACATTAAGAAATTATTAACTCCTCCATGAATAGGCCTTATGGGCACTCAACAAAATAATATCAGTCCCTGAGAACTGGGATAAAACATAGTAAGAAATTATTAGGTACCCACATGGATCAATCATCGCCTCTCTGGAATGACCCACAACTACTACAATCCCAACTGGCCAAATAACCCGAAGGGTGTAACTACTAGCCTGCCAAGGAGGCCGGCGTTTACAAAAAAAAACGAGAAAATCACTCATGACGCATCAGTCATGTGGGTGTTCCCTGGTTTTAATTTTGTCAGTATTTTCTCGCGAACTCAGGAGTCATGAATGTTTTTCTCCACCAATACCCGTGAAACATGCTCCTTAACCTCACACATAGGTTCCGCATGCACCCGTATTTTTCTTAAGGCACTAACAAGCCCTTCACAACTTTGGATGTGATTTCTTATGTCTCACGTGTGAAAATCATCCATGAGGAGCGTTGTTCTCACACCTGGACTTGGGAAATTCTAAACACACCGTACCACTATTTCCCGTAACATGCATCAGAACACACCCATACTGGGGAGACAAAATGTCTCTTAAGTACCCATTAGACTCCTGGTCTCAGTGTGTGACCGTTCATTCACTCACATAACCTCAGTTTACACTCGGTACATCCATGAAACGGAAGAGAGTGGGGGCCAGTGAGCCACTGAAACCTGTCCAGCTGAGGGGGGTTCTATTTTCCCTTTAGTAAGAGGTTTTCACTAAACTGCCTGAAGATTTGTGGTATTGTGAACCGAGGTGGAGGAGATCTGGTGACCCCAAACGATCGTCAACCGAGGGCGGACGCTGGTCCCACATAGTTAGTTGTCAACACAGACAGCTGGCTCCGCTCCTACCCTCAAACTGCTCACTCAACCGCGTGGGCTCAAGACCCCGTGGGCTCTACAGAATCCCTGCAATATACCCTCTATTAGCTATTGTTAACTTCTTCTCTGCCCTATCTAAACCTTGTCTGAAATCGAATGAAACTTACTTGTTATACTGATGTCTAACACAAAGGAGACCAGATCACGTGACCGTTTGTCCTGGCCTGACACGCAGGCGTCCTGTCGGTTGGAACACTCCCACGCGACTGACGCCTGGGGGCGCGTTTCTTCAAGGCGTCTGCCATGGGCTAGTGATATTTTCCCGCATAACTAATAGCTTAATTGGGGCATACGTAACATATTTAGACTGAGAAACGATCTATAATAATTTTTAATTTAATAACTCATTTAATTTCATGATTCCCGTCCATATTAATTATTTAGAGTACACTTAATACTATATAGGCCCAGTTCCAGAAGCTCCCACTACGTGTGGGCAGCACCACCCTCACTCAGTCGACCTTGGATGACTCAGTATTGCCATTATTGCTATTTACGTCTAAATATCACACCAAAATTTCTGAATATTACAATTGACCCCCCTAAAAAAAGACAGCATTGTCCTTATGTGCTGAGAAAAGTATGCATACGACCCCCCTAGAAAAGACTTGTTCTAGTAACTGCATCTCACACCTGCAACATGCTAAACACAGCATTTCCGTCCTCCAATGTCCGGCTTCCCTTTTCTCTCCCGCTGATATATATATATATATATATATATATATATATATATATATATATATATATATATATATATATATATATATATATATATATATATATATATATATATATATATATATATATATATATATATATATATATATATATATATATATATATATATATATATATATATATATATATATATATATATATATATATATATATATATATATATATATATATATATATATATATTTCATAACAGCAAAACATCACCAATTATAAGTGGTTTCAAATTTGAGAGGTATGAATTGTGGGTTTTTTACTGTAATGTTTGGTACTAGAAGGAACAAAGTACTGTACAGCAGTGCTTAACAACAGTTGATATTGAAACAGTTTATTTAGCCAGAAAAATGCAGATACAGAGTGGATGATATTAACAATATTGACATGGCTGAGCCAATTAAGAGCCTGTGCTTTCTTAGTGGCACCTGATATATACAGCTCCTCTCCGACTTATAACCACCTGCAATTACAACCTGCCTCGGTCGTACCAAAATTTTGTCAAATTACGTATTTTCGAGTCCCAACGTCAGTGATTGCGCTGTGTACAGTATAGTCTGCATTTACGGGGTCAATTGAACCCGTGGAGGTCCGCGTAAAACGAGAAACGCTTAAACGAAATAACAACATATGGGATTAATTGAAATAGAGACTGGGCCGACTCCCAAACGCCACTTTTTCCGACACAATACGTACTTTGTAGGAAAAATAACATCTTAATTTTATGATGGTATGCACACACCATTAATATTTAAGAGAAATGTCAATAATATTAGGTTTTTTAACATTTACGTTAGTATATAAGAAGGCTGGGCACACGGGGATGGGGGGTTGGTTCCGAGGCAGAGGGCAGATTATTGGCCCTCACCACAGAGGCTTGCAGGGCCTCTTTGTCAAACCCCTCAAAGTCCATTTCCTCACTATCACTGACTTGGGCTGGCTGTGGTGGGTGGCGGGTGAAGAACTCGGTAATGTTTTGATGACTGGGCGACCTCGTGCGCACCCTGCCCGCGCCGCTTCCCGCGTAAATGATGAAATTTACTGCGTAATTAAAACATTTCATTCTGGCAAGGCACCGAGGAAAATGACCAAACGCGTAAACAAAAACCGCGTAAATCCAGACTATACTGTACTGACAAAATTTTTGTTTGTAATTCACTTTAAAATGGCTGGCATGCTTAAAAGTAAGAGTTTTGTGGTGCTGAGAAGAAAAAGAGACACCCACTTTAGATTTTCTATGTATTATTTAAGCATTTTCGACTTACGACCTGGATTTGGATCCCTAACTCCGTTGTAAGTCGGGGAGGAGCTGTACTGTACAGTGGTCCAGATTAACCAGCTACCTAAGGAAGAATTGGGTAAGAAAATTGATATCTTGTGGCTGACAAAGCAGTTAAAAACAAAGCCTGTGCAAGGAAACGGTACTTGGCAAATAAGAATAATCATAGTTTTAAGGAATACAGAATATTAAAAACAGAAATCAAGCAACAAAAGACGTGAAAGAGAAATCGTAAATTATTTTATAGATATATAAACAGTAAAAACAAATATCTATTGTCTAAGTATTAATATTTCTTGTACATTGTAACACCTACTATATTTACAGTACCTGCTTTTATTGTACCATCAAAACCGTTTTATCGGAAATTATCATGTAAATAGATAAGTAATTACCATTGCAATGAACATAATTGCCAGCTAGACATAATCCTGACAGCTCTGTCCTCTTGTTCAACCTTATTACTGTACAACCCATGTTGTACTGCTCCCCCATTATACTTATGTTTTTCAATTCCACTGTAATTTATGTATATGCATATAATAAAAAAGTAATAAATCTATATCGTGTTTAACCAACCTCCTAGAAAGTTTTGATGACTGGCTAATGTGGGATGATGAGAGTAAAAATTTTGATGCAGTCTTTTTGGTTTTCCAGAAAGCTTTTGACTGTTCCACATAAGAGGCTTATACTGTACTGTGTATAAGTTAAATAAGTTGGGAATTAGAGGCCAAATCCTTAACTGGATTGAGGAATTTCTAAGTGGTAGAAAGCAGAAGGTGGTGATAAATGGAGTGGAATCCAGCTGGAAGGCATTACCAGTGGTGTTCTACAGGGAAGTGTTATTGGCCCTTTGTTATTTATAAGCTATATAAATGATCTGACATCAGAAATTGATACATCAACGAGTAAAATATTTGCCAGTGATACCAAGACCTATGAAGAGGTTAAGATGGATGCAGAGGAGACTTCAGGATTGCAGAGAAATTTAAATCTGATAAACAATTGGTCATAGGAGTACATGTTAAACTTTAACCCGGGTAAATGTACTGTGATGCATGTCGGCAATAATGATCCTCAACTTGAATATTATATGAATAACCTAAGACTGAATGTGGCAAAGAAAGAAAAGGATCTTGGAGTTGTGATAAATAACAACTTGATGTTTAAGAGCCATACAGCAAAATCAATTGCAAAGGTGAACCAGTCACTCTGAATTGTTAAGAGAACGTTTACGTATATTAATGAAGAACTCTTTAAGACTCTATATTTGACCTACATTCGACCTCACCTGGAATATTGTGTACAGGTGTGGATGCTGTATCACAGAGGTGAGAGATTGATAGTATTGAGCAAATGCAGAGAAGAGCAACAAAAATTGTACCATCACTGACTGATCTATCTTATGAGGAAAGACTGGCAAAATTGGGATTAATCACCTTGGAAGAGAGAAGGAGTAGAGGAGACTTAATTGAGCCATACAAGATAATGAATGGTTACGAAAATGTAGGCATAAAAATTTCCAATACCTCATACGTATATCAAGGAACTTATAGGACAAAACCACACATTACAAAAGCAAAGAGCAAACAAAGAAAAAAGAAGACACGCTCTCGGTCAACTAGCAGTGGACAAATGGAATAATCTGGACCAGTATGTAGTTCAAACAACATCCGTTAACCAGTTCAAGAACCGCCGTGATAGAGTCAATGAGTAGATGTGGGCTGAGCCTGGCAATAAATCCAAATGGATAATCTTCACCAGGATACTTTTCATAGTTAGTTTTCCCTAATTTTAATTGTAAATACAATAGCTAAAGACAGTGACTGCCACCCACTGATGATGCCACTTGTGTTGGCACTTCAACAGTTTTTACTTTAGCGGGAACATTTCAGAGACATTAATATTTCCAATTCTTTCTTATTTAGACACGGCAACTTTGGAAACTTTTTTAATATTTAAGGGCAGTGGACTAGATCAATTAGCCACATAAGGAAACAATATCTTTTTTTCAAGACATTGGATTCAGTTTCCGCACACAGCTAACTGGATGAAGCAAATGAGTTTTATTACCCGGGAAGAGACAGTTTTAATGTTATGCGGTACCCTTTTTTACATGGTGTTTCTTGAATATAGACAATTGACTTTTCTAACCTTTATTACTGAACTCTGAATATCTTAAAATGTTTCATGATTGAGCTCATTCTTCTAAAGTTTTATGAAGTATATACATAAAATTTTTCTTAACAGATAGCCAATTTTTCTCTCAAATTTCCATAATATATTTTATAGACCATGAGCTATATATTTTAACAGTATAGTACTGTACCTATATGAAGCAGACATCACTTCTTATCAACTAATGTACTGTATAGTTTTCTCCAGTAACCCACAATATCTTCCATATACAGGTATGACTTCATATCTGTGCCCATCGCTCACCCGAGGTTCTCCAGGGAGCATGTTGAGGGCAAGGCCAAGGGTCGGGCCGGTGCCTTCACTCGCTCTGACTTACTGCTCAGTAGTTCAGGTGAGCTGTGCTGCCCAACTCTCTCTTCCTCTTGATGTTTGGCTTTGATTTTTACTCACAATGTTATAGTTTGTTGTTTCATTGATTTACTGTATTGTTATATGACTACTACTGTACTAGGTATGCACAGTGAACTAGTTAACTCTTTAACTGCAACATTAGATTTCAAAGTCATTTGCCCAATGATGTTCATTAACCATCAAAAATTTTAATTATTTGCATCTCTCTCTCTCTCTCTCTCTCTCTCTCTCTCTCAACACAGAAAAAAAAATTCTACATCTGGCAATTATCTCTTATAAACTTATAATTGTTATTAGATGGCAAAACATATACCGATACTGTAGACAGGTACAGTATATGAAACTTACTCATGGGAATCTAATTTATAAATACAGGTACTGTAGTGAGGTATCCCTCGTTTAGCAAGGGGGGGTTGAGTTCCTGAAAAACCTAATGTTAATGAAAATTATCGCTATTGTGAGGGATAACAGCAAAGCACAGAGGGCAAACAACAGGTTCAAATGGCAGGGCTGTAAACACTGAATACATAACTGTACTGTACTTCCTAATACGTAATATTAATAAACAAATTTGTTATAAATGGTTTCAAAGTTAAACAATTGATGTATTAACTTCAACCTTCTATATAAATGCAGTGGTTCAGAGTTAAAGGATTTAGTGAGCAAAAGATGAGCCTAATCTAAACAAATTTAAAATTGCATACATCAAAAAAAAGGGGCTATGATAAACAATAAAAGTGATTCATAGCATATCATAAAATACAGTAGCACATATTTTATGTGAAAAAAATAGCTCCTTCCACACTCAAACCATCCTCTGGGCAGCTAGACACAGTTCAGCCAGGCAGTCACCCAACTGACTCAAGAGACCTGTGTGTGTATGACGTGCCGTCACATTGGGGGGAGCGCAGCTGGGTGGCAAGTCCATGACACAGTTACAGCCCACTGACTCCATGTGAACATTCGCTCCACACACATATACACCCATGTTTTTCATTTTTATAATACAGCACAGTACTTGTCTCTTATATTTTCTTTATTTCGAAGCAACATTAGAGTAATGTACTGATTTTTCCATAACTTTTATAGTTTCATTACATGTAACAATGGCACTATGCCATCTCACAGACCACCTCATCCCCATTTTTTCCCCCTTCCCAGTGAGTCAAGTTATCACAAAGCCAAATTTTGACCTTACGTTCAGTGATAAAGGTTGTTAAAAAAAAAATTCGGTGAACGAGAGATACTTGTACTGCGCAGTAAAACCTCGCCAACTCGGACTATACTGTAATTAGGGGAAAGGGCGGTCCGAGTAGGCCGGATTACATGTATGACCGAGAATCAAGGATCCAAGGACAATACCTGTAATATAGTTAACAATTGCAGTCCTGAACATTACTTTTATCTCAGGTAAATCCATGAAATTGGAATGAGTCTGATTGGAGTGTTTGAGACAATGTTTTATGATGATGAACCATTTATATTGTCTTACTACAGAGTGGAACAGCTTGATTGTGGGTCGCGTCAGTCCAAATGCCATCCTGAACTTGGAGTCCCCGACCAACAGCTTACGTATTAACAGTGAGGATACCATTAGTGAAGAACTTGCTTTTGCCTCTCATCTTGGTCTTCCTGCCGTGATGCTGTCTCTATCAACGGGCAGATGTACCAACATGGCCAGAATAGTTCATGATAAAATCGTCCAGGGTGTGTGTTACCAGGTAAGTTTACAGCCAGCCTTATGCACATTTGTCTTAAAACTTATTACCTTCATGTTGGATTATATCTGTGTTGGTGGTGTTGGTGGTACAGTATAGTGGTAATGTGTGTACAGTATATCTCACCATAGTATCCATGTGTATTACAGTGACATCTTGATACTGGTCCTCATGTGAAAGTAACTGAACATAATCTTCCCCTCGTGTGAAAGTAACAACATAATTTTTCTCTCTGTAATGTTGCAGGTGTGGGTGAGAGTTCCCATGCAGGCGCCAGAGGAAATTGCAGCCCAGTATCGCTCAGACAAGAAACAGAGTGAAGATGGATTTGAGATAGATACCTGGACTTGGTGGAACAGGTGAGAGCCTGAGAGATATGGTGGCAACTTTCGTTCTCACTTGTTACATGTGTAAATAAATGAAAAGGAAACATTTCAGATAATAATTATTCCCTTAGTGCTTCTATGTCTCTTAATCTACCCCAAACAATAGTAAAGGAGTCATCTCACTACCTGTTCTTCCTCCTCCAGGTTTCACAGTATAGCCAACTTACAGAAGAAGGTTGGCTTGGCTATCGAAATTTCAGCAGACCTTCCAGATCAGAGTGTTCTTGACAGGTGAGGAACTTGTGGCACATAAACAGAGTGGCTGGTCACACAGGAAAATTTAAAACACATGCATTTTCTGGAATGCCAAATGTCTAAAGTTGGATTAAACAGCAGTCATCATCAATGGAAGCTAGCTGTAGGGAAGATGGCCATCACCAGTGGATGTTTTGATATTTCTTGCACTGTATATTTGTGCATATGGGGATGGAATAGGGAATCCTTAGCTGCCAGCTCAGGGTTGATACTAGCCCATATGTGTTATGTAACTTATGTGTACAGTACAGTACATTGTAAGGTTAACATCACTGACTTAGCTCTTCCAACACCAGGGACACAAATCAGTCGAGTACTCCATTAATACAGAATACATCTTGTCAGTATCATACATTGCTTTCTTTGCCTCCATATTGTATTCATTCAGTAACTTTGGGAAGCTCTCTTGAATCAAATTTAGATGCCCTGCTACTTGTTATGAATATAGAAGTTTAGTTTTATAACCACCATTTTCAATCTTCATGTTTGAGAGTTGGAGACCCGTGTTGGTCTTGGAAAATTATCATGTGTTGTTAATTTACCCAAATTTGTTAGGACTTCTGACTCATCTTCCTTGTAAATTCTCCTTAGCTTCTCTTTCTTGTAAATTCTCCTCGGTGAGTGAATCGTGGCTAAATGTCTGTCAGTCACACGGCCAATGATAGCACAGGATTTTGTGACAGAGGGCTTTACTTTGGGTATATTGGTCACTGTTACTGTACTCTTGGGATGTTGGACTTTTACTATATTCTGGGTACATTATATTGTATTGTTTTACTGCACCTTGGTTACTGTATATAAGACTGTTTTAGTATACCCTGGGTCTATTGGACTGGGTATATTGTATTTTTTACTGTACCCTGAGTATATTGGACTGTTTTTACTGTACCCTTGTTCACCTCACAGCTGAAACTGAACATCTACAGATTTGACTATTCATGATGACCTAAGATATTAAGTAACATCCTGTGTTCAGAAAGTGGCTTACATTCACAGGTGGTTTGGAGAGCCCATAAAAAGTGCTATTCTGCCAACCTCCATCTGGCTGACTAACAAGAAGGGATTTCCTGTCCTGTCTCGTGCTCATCAGCTACTGATAAAGTCACTGTTCAAGCTACACGCCCAGTTTGTCATAACAGGACCACTTCGACACCAGCACTTTAAGTTGTACCAGCAGTATCTTGAGCATATAATAAGGGTAAGACCTCCTGACTTAAATTTTATATTTGTCAATTAAAGTTTCAGTTATCATCTCAATATAGTTATTGTTGACATATGTTATCCAAACTGGCTTCATATTTGGTTAACTTCACTTATATGTCATAAATTTCCTAAACTTTTCCAGGCACAGCTTGAAGCAGACCCTTTGACCGACTTTGCTCGGGGATATGAGGACTACCTTCAGTGTCCGCTTCAACCTCTGATGGACAATTTGGAGTCTCAGACTTACGAAGTTTTTGAGAAGGATCCCGTCAAATATGCCGAATATGAACGAGCGATGTATAAGGCAATTTGTGATAAGATTCCTGAAGAAGAGAGAGACACAAAGGAGATGTAAGTAGAATTATATTCATCTAATTTGTCCTTAACCCCTTATGTACGGTAACTCCTCTGAGCTGGATAAAATTGTCTGCCGTTACACAAACAAAATCTTAAATGTGATGTCCCCATAGTGAAGGGGTTAGATCATAACTGATGTCCCTTTTATTAGATTAGTAATTGTTCATTTAGTGTGTTGAGCAGTGTAGGAACTATTCTTATTTTCTCACAGCTGTTAGGTAATGATTGTCTTACCATACTTCTCACAACTGTGTCCTGGGTTTGTTCAATCCCTGCCCCAGGACAGATGTGAGAAGGGTGTTATCCTATGTGAGTGACCCTACCAAACTTGGCAGGTTTTGCCTTAGTAAAGTACTCTGGTTTCCTCCTGTACTAACACTGGACAATAAAGAACAGACTAACCACCTGAATCGCTAGTAATTGGTGAAAGGATAATAATAACATGAAAAGGTTACCTACACATGTATCATCTCTTGCAGTATACTGATGGTGGTGGGGGCCGGTCGCGGTCCTCTTGTGCGGCGGGCCCTGGCAGCAGCAAAGGGAGCCCAGAGAAAAATCAAAGTATATGCTGTAGAAAAGAATCCAAATGCTGTTGTTACACTACAAGCTCAGCAGGATGAAGACTGGGGAGAACAGGTAATACAGTGTCAGAAATCACCATTGTAGCAGTACTGCCCAGACGGTACATCATACCCTGTATGTGACCGTTCAACTGGGTGATGTATTCAAATGTTAGAATAAGTAGTTTATTCATTATTGGGTTATGATCATAAACAATATAATTCATTTAATCAGATGTATTTAATGTCAAACTCAATAAACAAGTGAGGACAATGTTGCTGCTGTAATAGTGATACAGTGTCCCCATTAGCAGGAATAATTGGTGCAGAGCAGTTTCGGGATTGAGAGATTTCCAGGTATGGAGGCAAATTTTCGCATCCCCAGAAAAAATCACACATCCCCAAATTTTTCCGGATACTGGGGAATGTTTCTGAGAGTCTAAACTACGCATACAGTATTACACAGACAAACGCTCCCATAGCATGTTGGCAGCGGTCTCAAGCAAAAATATTTACGGCTAGCAAAAGAAGTGTATAAACTTTTATCCATAATGATCCAGAAGAAATTCTTAATAAAGGGTCCTTAAACAAAATATTTCAATGCGATATGATGATGGTGACTGAATTCTTTTATGAGAGAAAGAAAGAAATGTTTATACCAGTGTCTGTAAAATCAGTTCTTTATAAGTTAGAAACCCGACTTTTACTCAAATAATCCTGAATAGTTTATCTAAAATGTTATTTAAAGAAGTATACAGTATATAAAAAACAAAAAATCTTTATATGGGCCAACAAGAGGGGTTGTGAGGTGTGGAATTTTCCATTCTGCACTGGGGAAAGTTTTCCAAAAGTCTAAACTACACATCTCACATGGACAGACACAGCTGTATTTATTTACAAAAACACCATTGTACACGTACAATATGTTGTAAATAAACAAAATATACTACTATATACACCATACTGTACTCACCAACAGATGCTGTCATCTTGGGCATGTGATGCAGGCAGGCCAAATGGTGATATGATGAGACAGGATGGCCTGCCTTTGTCCTGTACCATCTACTGTAGCAGGTGTTGCTAACTGTCACTTTCCTCTCTGGGCTTTGCCTCCACGAAGGAGGGATTGTACATGCACTGTATACTGTACATACACCCTCTACACACTAGCATACACTGTTCACTCAGCTATGTACAGTACTGAATATATTAAAGATAATACTGTATTATACTCATGTCACAGATTGGAACATTAATATAAATATGTATAAATTTTCATGTGCCACAGAAAGACTTATGGTTGAATCAAATTAATTAGATAAATAAATTTTAGAATAGTGATGGTCAGTACAGAACTTATAATATTTTACATAAATTTATTTGTCAGTGACCTTAGGTTAAATGTGCTTTGGAAAGTATTTGTAATGGAGGTTGGTTGGGTTAGTGGGTCTCATGTTACTGACCTGACCTTACGCTATGTCCGGACACCCTTTGTGTATGAGCTCTTCTCTCAGTTGTAAATTCAGTTGCCTCTGAAGATGTCTTGAATAAGTATGAAAGCTAAGGTACTCCAAGTGTTTCCTGGTACTCTCACACTTATTGAAGTACTAGTACTGTACTGTACAATATACATAACTATAATCACTTTTTACATCTTAATACTGATTTAATGGTATTCTTGGCTGATTATATGCTGGTACAGTACTGCACAACACAGATTGTATGCAAAAACATCAGTGAGTGAGTGAACAAGCTTGTACAATAGCAGCAGGCAATGAACTAAGAGTGTCATGATGTTAGAGTTTGAGGAGATAGGCTGCAAGATACATCAGCCAATCATTATATCATCCCATGCAGTCCCATGACAGTTGTGGCCAAATGTAGCACTGAGCCTACCACCCTTATGCCTGGCACACGTTCTTGCATCCAAAACGTGACACAATCTTTGGGAAATTCATTCCCATACATGGAATGGAGAGATTTTTTCTGGAATTTCTTGGAATGCTCAAAAATTTTTCTGGCTATTGGAGAGTTCTGGGGATCAAAGATTCCGGCTAACGGAGAGATTACAAACATTACGCCATCTCCACAAAAATCCGTAAGGCAGTGTGTATACGTTTTTTTTAGACACGCTGTATTTTAGCATGAACCTTTCATCCTTGCAACTTCCTACCTGCTGTGACTGTATATATCACCCTATATAAGATTTTGTATTTATTAAACAGGTAACAGTGGTGTCGTGTGACATGAGAGATTGGGACGCCCCCGAAAAAGCTGATATCTTGGTCTCTGAACTGTTAGGGTCTTTTGGTGACAATGAACTCTCTCCAGAGTGTCTTGACGGTGCTCAGAAGTTCCTAAAAGGTATTTTTATTGATAGGGTTTTTCTTTGTCATAATACTGTATAGATGTTATAGGTGCAGCTTTTTATTAAAATAAAAATAATCTTATTTTTAAGTTTTAAATTTTAGAATGAATATGAGGAAAGAATGACAAAATTATGACTTTTACTTGAGTTCAGTTAAGTTGTTTGTGGTTGTATATGATAATTCTAAACTACAGTCCATCTTATCAATTTAATGTTACAGTGATTTAATTTTTCAGAGGATGGCATTAGTATACCCAGCAGCTACACCTCCTTCCTCAGTCCCCTCCAGTCACCCAAGTTATACAATGAGATCAGAAATTGTCGGGAGAAAGATAAACACTTCCTTGCCCACTTTGAGACTCCTTATGTGGTGTACTTACATAACAAAAAGGAACTGGCTCCCTCACAACCCCTCTTCACCTTCAATCATCCCAACAGAGGTAAGAAGGGGATAAAATAAGTGTGCAGTGATATTGCTCATCACGTGCAGTTAAAAAATTCTACTAAAGCAATGATAAACCTAAACCATATCCACAAATTATAACTATTAGCCACCTTGTACTGGCTGTCAGGAGTGCGGTGGTCGAGTGGATACAGCGTTCACCTGTTCTAGAGGTCAGTGGTTCTATTCTTGGGCACCCCAGTTCACCCAGCTGTAAATGGGTACCTAAGTTTAAACATGGGCAAGTGAATTTGGTTAAGTACAATACCAGCCATGCTGCCTCCTTGTGTACCGAAGGCTTATTATACAGTCTACTGTTTCCCTACTGACCTTAATGAGCAGTAATGCATATGGGGCCCACTTTCAAATTTTCTGGCTGTCAAAGAAACTGTGTCAAGTAAGCAACCCCAAAAAGTGCAGTAAACAACAATGGTTTAGCAACGCATTTGATCAAGTGATGACAGTGATCAACGTAACCAAGAAAAAACACATCAGTGGAAGGTAGCTGTAGGGAGAGTGGCCATCATCAGTGGAAGGTAGCTGTAGGGAGAGTGGCCATCATCAGTGGAAGGTCGCTGTAGGGAGAGTGGCCATCATCAGTGGAAGGTAGCTGTAGGGAGAGTGGCCATCATCAGTGGAAGGTAGCTGTAGGAGAGTGGCCATCATCACTGGAAGGTAGCTGTAGGAGAGTGGCCATCATCAGTGGAAGGTAGCTGTAGGGAGAGTGGCCATCATCAGTGGGAAGGGAGAGTGGTCAGGGAGAGGGCCATCATCAGTGGAAGGTTAGCTAGGACATCATCAGTGGAAGGTAGCTGTAGGGAGAGTGGCCATCATCGCGGAAGGTAGCTGTAGGGAGAGTAACATCATCAGTGGAAGGTAGCTAGGAGAGTAATAATATCAGTGGAAGGTGGTTGTAGGGAGAGTGGCCATCATCAGCTGAGAGTGGCCAGTGGAAGGAAGCTGTAGGGAGGTGGCCATCATCAGTGGAAGGTAACTGTAGGGAGGTGGCCATCATCAGTGGAAGGTAGCTGTGGAGAGTGGCCATCATCAGGGAAGGTAGCCAGTGGAAGGTAGCCAGGGGAGAGTGGCCATCATCAGTGGAAAGGGAGCTGTAGGGAGGGTACATCATCAATGAAAAGTAGCTGTAGGGAGAAAGTGGCCATCATCAGTGGAAGGTAGTAAACAGGAGGGATGTGGCCATCATCAGTGGAAGGTAGCTGTAGGGAGAGTGGCCATCATCAGTGGAAGGTAAACAGTAGGGAGGTGGCCATCATCAGTGGAAGGTAGCAGGAGGGATGCTGGTGTAGGGAGAGTGGCCATCATCAGGGAGAGGTGAAGTAAGTTGGAGGGAGAGTGGCCATCATCAGTGGAAACAGGTAGGGAGGCTGTAGGGAGGAGGGTGGCCATCATCAGTGGAAGGTAGCTGTAGGGAGGTGGCCATCATCAGTGGAAGGTAGTAGTGGCCATCATCAGTGGAAGGTAGCTGTAGGGTGGCCATCAGTGGAAGGTAAACTGTAGGGAGAGTGGCCATCATCAGTGGAAGGTAGCTGTAGGAGAGTGGCCATCATCAGTGGAAGGTAGCTGTAGGGAGAGGGCCATCATCAGTGAAGGTAGCTGTAGGGAGAAAGTGGCCATCAGTGGAAGGTAGCTGTAGGGAGAGTGGCCAACATCAGTGGAAGGTAGCTGTAGGGAGAGTGGCCATCAGGAAGGTAGCTGTAGGGAGAGGGCCATCATCAGTGGAAGGTAGCTGTAGGAGAGTGGCCATCAGTGGGAAGGTAGCTAGGAGAGTGGCCATCATCAGTGGGAAGGTGGCTGTAGGGAGAGTGGCCATCATCAGGAAGGTGGCTAGAGAGAAAGTGGGCCATCAGTGGAAGGTGGCTGTAGGGAGAGTGGCCATCATCATGGAAGGTGGCTGTAGGAGAGTGGCCATCATCAGTGGGGTGGTTGTAGGAGAGTGGCCATCACTGGGAAGGTAGCTGTAGGGAGAGGGCCATCATCGGGAAGGTAGCTGTAGGGAGAGTGGCCATCATCAGTGGAAGGTAGCTGTAGGGAGAGTGGCCATCATCAGTGGAAGGTAGCTGTAGGGAGAGTGGCCATCATCACTGGAAGGTAGCTGTAGGGAGAGTGGCCATCATCACTGGAAGTTTTATGTTCCGTACTTAATGGTCATTAGGGAGGTGATCCATTGCTGCCAGTTAAGTGTAAATAAAGTACATATAATATTCATGTATGACCATACTTGTACTGGTACTGGTACTGGAATTAATTTGAAAGATATTTATACATATGTGTTTATTTTCCAGCCAAGGTGATAGACAACACACGGTATAAATCACTTCAGTTTCAAATTACGGAAGACAACGTCGTTCACGGCTTTGGCGGGTACTTTGAAGCCACGTTATATAAAGACATAACTCTGAGCATTAAACCTGAGACACACTCCCGGGGCATGTTCTCCTGGTTCCCCATCCTCTTCCCTCTTCGGGTATGTTTTACTGATTATAATCTTAGTTTCTGAGACCCCTATTTTTTCTCGGGTGATGTAACAGATGTCACAATAGTTCAAACAATTCATACAATAGTTTTAAGATCAAGAATACAGTATTTATGAGTGTTATAGTTGTTAAAACCCATCATTAGTTTGATGGTTAAGGTGATAAGTTTCATATAGTGTCACTAGTTCAAGTAAACTCTGTGTAATACATTATTTCATAGAAACTTAAGAGTGGGGAAGTTGTATTACAGTTTATTGTTGGTTAACCTTCATTCCCTATATTTTATCAACGTTTAACCTTTCATGATCCATAAATGCTACTTGAACACAACATTTTTAGGGAATAAGTTGAATCAGATTGACTAAACAGCTTGTTTATTCATTGTAGGAGCCAGTTCCTGTACGTATGGGTGACGTGATGGAGGTACACTTTTGGAGGTGCACCAACAAGAAGAATGTGTGGTACGAGTGGTGTGTTACGTCCCCACAGATAATATCAATACATAACCCCAATGGCCGAGCATATACCATCGGGTTATAACAAAGGAAGTCCATAGGAGACTTTTATTTAAAGTTGCGTCAGTGGATGTTGATCAGCTTTGTTCTGAAGAAACCTGTTGCTTAAAACACTTGTCAATGGCTCTAGTGAAATTGAATTGCATGAGCAGTGCGAATACTTGAGGATGAGAAAAGCCCCAGAATTGTTCCTGTTTGTCACTCTTGTCAAAATCTCTCATCATCTGCCTTATGAAAGCTTGTAAACTAGAATAAGAAAGGGTCCAAAATTCTTGATGTTGCATGTGTAAGTTTCAAATCCCTAATATGCTGAATCAGTAGCAACCAGGTGTCAATATTAGTGTTAAAGAAGTACTGTACTGTACTCAAGAGGTAAATGTAAGTTAAACTGTATTTTTGTACAATTACTTGCTATACCCTTAATCAAGCTGTAATTTTTCACAGCCACTCGGTGTCTAGGAAGTATGGACACTCTTAACAAAAAGAGCTGCATTGTGTGTTTACAGTATAAGAAATACTGTGACTGGGCAGAATATTTTGCTCAGTTGCCAAAAGGCCCTGAACTAACTTAAGCATACCTTTTATCTTTAATCTGGGGAGGATCCTGGAGCACAGAAGCCTTAATGAAGGGAGTGATGGCAAAGAGAACAAAAATAAATGTACACATACACTTGCTGATATCCACAGGAGGCGAAGAGATTCTTACCTAGACTAATTTGATTAAGACATGGGCCCATTACAATTGGACCCTTGTACTAATGGTTAGGTTAGGTTGGGATATAGATGGACGGGGATCTTTTTGGCTAGTCATCAGTGGTTGGCTGAGGAGTGATAATTAATTCTTCAGGGTTCCTGACACTATGACAGTTAACAGTGAGGATTATTTGGTCTATTCAGCCTTCGTAAGATTTTATTCCAACTAATGGCGACTTATGTCACCTGCAGAGGTTACCCGTATGTCATAGTCCATACAACTACATGGCTAGTCAGTCTTTAATGTCTTGGAATAGTCACTCGTATTTTGTATGTTAGTTAGGCAGTGCATGAGGGCTTGGTATTATTAACTTTGTAAATCTCTTGAGCACTGCATGACAGTTGATGACCATCTTATCCACATAGCCAGCTTTTATGATAAATATAATGTACTGTATTGAGATTTAGTTTTGAAAGTACTGTACTGTGTACCATAGAAAAAGGTATAATAATCTCTTTAGGGTGGCAGCTTTTATCCTGAGGAGAAAAGAACTTGTATTTAATTCTTTTTTTGTTCAGGCCTCACAACTTACTTTAAAGTTTTAGTGCAGCAAAAATTATTAAAAATGCTCTATATATATATATTGACTCACATCAACAATATAAACAATGTTAGAAGATATGACAAACTGGACTACTAAACCATTGATTTTTAAGATGAAACAAACCAAACTAGTGTACTATTGCCTGTTAATAATAATAATAATACAGTTACAATAATATTTAATCAGTAAAATTGTCATACAGGTTTACAATTGGATAGGCAGGTACTGTATACAGTTCATCATGAATATAAACAGTGCAAGTATACGTGGATTTTGTTAGGTTGTGTTGCCTGTGTTATAAGAAATGGTCGGGTGTTCCAGTTTGTGGTACTTTCCTCACACTGAGAAATATATACTGTACTGCATTGTATCAATATGTTTCAACATTGACAGCGATAAAAGAAAGGTTGTTTTACCCCATTCCAAGTGAATAAATTTCTCACAGGGCTGCTTTACTTAGTAACTTAATTAAAGACCATTGGCTATCTAACTGTGATCTAACCTATGAAAAGGGGCTCACAGAGTTGGGTCATTAACTGTTCATCTGTGACCCAAAATAAGTCAGAAACCTTGATTGTCAAGAGTGGGTAAATGTTGTTAGTATGATCACAATGGGTAAATAAATGTTAGTGGGTTGTCAGAGTGGTCACAAAATGGGTAAATATTGTTAATGTGATCACAGAATAGGTTAAAATGATGTCAATGTATTCAACACAACGGGTAAATGTGGGTCTTGTTCAGTGGAGTATGTTACACCCTCGTAAGACATCATAAACTGGACACTTTTAACTCGGTGTCTCATTTCCTATATCAGATCACAGTTGGATACAAGGGATACAAGTAAATAATGATATTCAGGCAATTATTTATATTTCAATTACGTGATTCTGAATAAACCATTTTGAATAAGCTTAGGGGTTTCCAGATAGTACTCTCAGTTATGACTAGAACAATTTTTGTACAAGGAATATTCAGTGTTTTTTGTTGTAAAGCACTTGATAGTGAGAAGTTTTTTTTTTTCCACTTGTTTTTATGAGTTACTAAGGTATTTTCAAAAGCCTTTTCCATCACAGTGTACAAAACTACCATTATATTTTGAGACCAATGCTGAATATAAAGCTCAACACTTACTTTACACTTGATAGTTCTTATTTTTCAACCTATACGTACATCAGTTCCCATTAAAACTTGACAGAAATTTGTTACTTGGTGTTCCAGCACTGTACTTGGTCATTTTTATTGGAGAACCCTAAATGGGTTTTATATTTTAGGATGTGCAATAAAGAGGAACCTAAAAGTCAATAGGAGTTCTGTGCTACTGTATTGAGTTTTAGGGTCCTGTTTATTGCACAACCTAAAATATAGTAACCATTTAGGGTTCTCAAATACAAAAAAATTACCCTGTATTAGTATGTATGCAATTAATATGTTTGAAATATATTTTTAATCAATTACTGGTAGTTCTCGATAAAACCACACAGCAAAAAGGGAAACACTGGAGCACTTTAGCTTTTGTCTTTATTCAAGACATCTTCAGATTTATCTTGTCCACGATTCCATTGTAAATCTACAGGAAATTATTGGTAGTGTACACTATTTCAGTTTTATGTTTGTATATTCTACTTAATACTCCATATGTAGGTACTGTACTGTATAGGGCTCTAGTGTCATGGCCATACTCTCAGTGGGGAGCTCCTGTGAGACACCATAGTTAAGAATCCATAACCTGTACCAAATATCATGGAATAGAACAGCTATACAAACCAGGAACCTGTTGGCAACTTGGTATCCTTTTAGTTGCCTCTTACAACATGCAGGAAACAGAATGAACTGTGGTCAACGAAGTCTGGTCCTCAGTATGTATTGCTGTTATATCTTCTACAAAAACACCACACTACTTAGGTCAGTGAACCCAGCCTAACAATAACAGCTGAGGATAGGAGAAATATTCTATCTTTGTCAATGTAGTAGTTCAAGTGAAGGACTAGGGTGAATAGTTGAGAGTAAGACCTCCCTAAGTCAGACTGTATGGAGCTCAAGGCTGTTTGATTTATCTAGAATTCCAACGTATATGGACCCCCCCCCCCCCATGCTTATAACTTTCTTTTTTTTTAATCCCTTTTAAGACTAATATTAAAGTTAACAGTATACTTTTGCACTGCACCTACTTGTATTATAACAAATGAAATGACAATGAGGGACTGCTTATAACTTCAATATTTGTACAGTATTCACACTTATATTGTGTTACACTTTACATTTAGTTACACTTACAGTATATTGTGTTACACTTATATCTAATGTGCACTTAAATCTGATTGGTCATAAAAACTCAGCCCAAACTCCTCACAGATAACATTCATGGAGACCCCAGCATCAATTGTCTCCTATCTTCAGCTTTTTTCTTGCTTTAGAGGGCATAATAATACACCAGAGAATTACTAAATACAATGAATGACGGTGTGTGCAGTGGAGCAGTGGTCACAACTACAAACATGTGGGAGCTGACTCCTCTCCTAACTGCCACTCCACAGAACTCCCAAAGTCAGAGCTTGTCTGACATATGGAGGCTTCTGACTTAAAGAAGTCTGACTTAGAGGGGTCTTGTGTATTAACAACTACTTGAAGTATACTCAGAAAACAGAATTCAGTCTCTCACTGTCAAGTGGACTTACAGTGTCTTTCCTAAATGATAACAGTACAACACAACTGATACTGTAAGTCAATTAGAGAGAATAACTTGTGTTGTCTGTCACATGATTCCAGGCAGTCAGTGGTGCAGGGTAAATGAAAGTATGATACAGGTGAATCTCTCCAGTCCGGCACCTCGGTCATGACCGCAGCCAGACCATAGAATTTTCTGAACAATGGGTGATCAATATATTACTATCAAAATGATATAAGTTTGTATACACACAGCTTCAAGAACACTGGCCGATACCGCCATAGCAACGCAGCCCAGCTGGTATGCTGCCTCTGCCTATCCCTTAGCAATGGAGTTCGTTCATGCCATGGCACTCCCATTCTCATGGCCAACCCCGCTAACTCACACATGAAATGTTTATTTCCTTCATGTTTTTCATATTCTGTATATATATGATTTGTGTGCATGTAACTAAGTAAAAAAAAGTGAATAAAGTTATTCATTCAGTACAGTATATCCAAAATTATTAATTCAAAAACAACCATAACATAGCTTACAGCTCAGCCTAGTAGCTAGGAGATGTGGCTACACTGATGAGTCTAACATGGCAACAGTGTCACCAGCAATATTAACTGATGCAAATGAAAAATTTATCCGTAAATCTTCATTTGTATCATTTTTTTTTAGATTCCAAGTGATGTACAGTATAGTGAATGAAGTTTGCTCTTCATGTCACAACATAAAGAATTTAGGGGTACAGTAAAAAAGCCTAAGATTATACCAAGTCTGTGTGTATCCAAATATGATGCATAAATAGTGTTAAACACAACTAATGTTGTGTAAAAAATAACTAATAAATAATAGAACTGTTTAAGTTTCTACAATGCCAAAACACGTCTGTCACCTCTCACACGACTGCGTGCAATGCTATTGTTACAGTATTTGTGAGTACAGTAACTACAGAAATTGCAGAATCGCAATGTGTTTATGAATTTTATGAATAAGTCACAGAAGACCCTATGTAATGTCAAGATGTCAGAAGAACCCATCTTAACCAAACCTATTGGTTGCAATGTTGCACAATCTTTCAATTACAGCATGCCCTTAAAATTTGCGGGTTTTAATTCGCAGCCTTCGATTATTCAACAGATGACACCTTGGATGTACCCAAGAATGTCCACGGTACTTTTAATGTTCGCAGCCGACGGAGCAATCAAGTTTTGTGGCGTCCCACAAGGTGTTCTTGTTGTCCCTGGCCACGCTTTCACCTCGTCTCAGTGATGCCATACGGCTAACGAGCTGATCAGTGGTGAAGAGGATAAAAGTAAAGTAAAAAAGCAGGGTCTACCAGGCGGTAGTCCCTCCCTGCCTACTACCTGCTACTTGTGTGTGTATGTTGATCTGAAGTCATTTGCTTACCTATGATCAATAATTTATAAACATATTAGTAATTGAAATCATTTTGTAGTATAGAGGAAATGTACAGTGTCAACAAGTGCTGCTTTGATTTTTATTTCCATTTAAATCTACCGCCAGTGAATGTCATCATCTGATTCCAATAATCTTCGAGAAATGACAGCTCAGCTCACATACTAAATTCTGTTCTGTAACGACAAAATTACATTAAAAATAAGATTAATCCGAATAATATATCAATATAAATTATACAAAGTGAAAAAAGTATAAAATGTGTTATTATTAAACGTGTAAATGGTAGAAGAATTTAAAAGTTATTGGAAGACTTTGTCAACGAGAGTAGAATTATGGGTTGATGTTGTCAGTGGCTACGTGGAACTGGTGCTGTAAAGGCCGCTGTCACCCGGGCTCTGCGGTCCATCACTCATTTATCCTCCAGTAACCTCCTCTCTTACATCTAAACACCCAGGTAACATTATAAAACAACTGTCAATTACCATAACATTTATTTATATACTTAAAATAAAAATATAACGACGTAAATAAGTAAAGTTAGGTGATTTATTGATGGGTTTTGATAGGACAGATTGTAGTTAACCTTGACAGAATAACTTACATTAAACATATTATTAAGCTTTTTTTGGTGAAGATTTTGTGTTGTATAATAAGTGTTATTGTAGTTGTATTAATTCATTAGTTGTAAAGAGGTGACGCCAAATACCCTAATTAATATACCATTATTTTTTATTATCCTTTTAACTTTTAGGAACCAAATTATCATAACCAAAAAAAGTCTAATTAACTCAGAAAATACCATTGGATACGTGAGAGTGACGGGTTGTTAATAATACAGTAAGTTTATAGTAATAATGGTCAAAGTTTCATCATTAAAGTTATTAAGGTGAAAGTTAAGTTTGGCTCAAGTTAGAGAGAGATAGGTAGATACAGTACTGGTGTTTATTAAGTAAAATCTACATAAAAATAATGTTAAAAATTTCTGTCGGGGAAAATTAAAATTGTCTATTTAAAGTAAGAAAATATTTGTATTTTTCCCTTGATAGGAACACCACAAAAAACTATAATTGATGGGTATGGTTGGTACATATAGTTTACTACACATGGTACAGGCTAACATATGGATACCCTGTAAAGTATTTGATCGGGATTCCTGGCCGAACAACCGTCGGCTATTTGATCGGGACCCGCGGGATTGTGTGTGATTGTAATGGAATTGTGGTCAGGATGGCTGTGGGCATTACACTAGTCATTACACTATTATTGAATGACTATTGGTATCTTCTTAACTGTCTCCTGATACTCCAAGATGTCCTAGTTAGTTTAGGTTGGGGTGGGTTAGGTCAGGTTAGGTTAAAAAAAATTTGAGGTCTCTACTGAACTTGATACTTAACTGTAGCATAACTGTTAAACATTGAGATGTTGGTTTTCTTAGCAAATTGACATAAATTTATTATAATTTTTTCTTCTTTGTATCCTTAATTTTGCATGTACTGTACTGTACAGGTATTTATATTTGATCGACTTTTTCTTTTAGATCCCGGTCAAATAACCAGTGATTATATGGCTGGATACCGGTCAAATAACCAGTGGTTATATGGCTGGATGCCGGTCAAATAACCAGTGGTTATATGGCTGGATGCCGGTCAAATAACCAGTGGTTATATGGCTGGATGCCGGTCAAATAACCAGTGGTTATATGGCTGGATACCGGTCAAATAACCAGTGGTTATATGGCTGGATGCCGGCCAAATAACCAGTGGTTATATGGCTGGATACCTGTCAAATAACCAGTGGTTATATGGCTGGATACCGGCCAAATAACCAGTGGTTATATGGCTGGATACCAGCCAAATAACCAGTGGTTATATGGCTGGATGCGTCAGAAATCCAGTGGTTTATGGCTGGATGCCGGTCAAATAACCAGTGGTTATATGGCTGGATGCCGGTCAAATAACCAGTGGTTATATGGCTGGATGCCGGTCAAATAACCAGTGGTTATATGGCTGGATGCCGGCCAAATAACCAGTGGTTATATGGCTGGATGCCTGTCAAATAACCAGTGGTTATATGGCTGGATACCGGCCAAATAACCAGTGGTTATATGGCTGGATACCGGCCAAATAACCAGTGGTTATATGGCTGGATGCCGGTCAAATAACCAGTGGTTATATGGCTGGATACCTGTCAAATAACCAGTGGTTATATGGCTGGATGCTGTTCAAATAACTCCTGCCTATAACATAACTAACAATTTTTTTTTTTACGGATTAGCCCACCCGGGCACAGGTCACTGACCCACATCAGGGCCTGGGGGGCGAAAATATAATAATAAATAATAATAATAATAAGGTAATATCTATTATTACAACAATTGATAAAATTAATAACAAATTAATAAAAATAAAAATACATTATGTACCTGTATGTGGTGTTGTCCAAGTAAGAGAAACAATTGAGACCCTGCAATTGTGTGTAAATGAGGCAGAAAGTCAGATCATCAACCTGGGACTTGGTCACATATGGCAGCAGGGTCTACCATTAGACAACACGTGATGCTTCCAATATCTTCCCAGGCGGTAGCACCTCCCTGTTTGATGGCTGCCTACTATCTACTGCCTACCAAAACAAAACTTAGCCAAAACACAGGCTAAGATCTGTTGGTTTGGTTGATTAACTTAACATGCTGTCATAATTGCTTCACACCCTTATACCCCAGCTGAGGTTTTTATGTTTTAAGAATTAATTTATATTTGTTACATTACTTCTCTCCGTGAAAATTACCCCTAACTACAAAATACTATATTTGTATAGTTATATAATACAGTACTGTACAGTATTGAGTTAATTCGGTCATTCTTCCCCTTATTATTCCCCACCAGATTTGTGCATTAGACACATGTTATTTGAAATTGTTGGTGAAAAAAATAATGCAACCTAATATTTACAGTGAAGAATACAGCACTGATTTATTTATGATGGAAGACTATTGAAACCAACATAACCTAAGTTGGGATTGGTTATGTCATTTGATGTAAGAAGTTACTGTAGTACTTGACTTTGGGGTTCAGTTAGCGCCAGGGAAAACATTATTGATATCAGATTTCGTAAAGATTAGGAACCTTGACCTACTTCACCTGATGATTAACTACCTTAACCCCTTGTGTATGGGTCCCTCTCTGAGCTGAATACAATTTATTGGCATTAACCAAATAAAATATTAAAAGTGAATGGGTTAATGCTAATTGAATCTAACCTAACCTGCCCAGGTAGCTTTAGGGTGTTCAGTCATCAGCTGGGGTGTGTTAGCTTAAGATGTTCCATGTTTTGCTTCAAAAACTTGTGTACAGTACTGTAGTTATCTTGAGAATTTTGTTTCAGTGGTTCATCAAAGGTTGCGACCTAATGTCATCTGGGTCCATGTGAGTACATCTTGAGAGTTTAGTCTGACTCACACTCATGGCAAGCTTCGAGCACTCGGGTACAGTCACATGTCAAAAGTCCTGTCGCCCCTTCTGCTCCACGAACCCTGAGATTCAGACTCGTGAACCCGAAACACTTGCAGAATAATGCGCTTCTGGTTCCTGGAGTCGGAATTCAGGGCTCATGGAGTAGCAGGAGAGGTGACAGGACTTTTCACCGTGACTCTACGTTATGTTAAATATATAATACAGTACAGTTCATTAGTCTCTTAACCCAATAACACAGGCTTTTGGGAAATCGAGGGTACTCCATAAATAGCAAAAACATGACCTGCAAGTAAAAAAACAAAATCTTAGGAAATTGAAGATGTAAAATTTAGAAGCGAGGCGGAGAGTAACTGGCTACTGCTGAGCCCTGGTTGTTGTTGTGGTGCAAAGTGCGTGGTAAGCCCTTACGTAGGTGGTGAGTCAGGCTGTGGCATCCTAGGTGTGGGTGAAGGGCCACCGAGGGCAGGCAGAGAGGGGAGGAGGGTGATGATGCATAAATAATTCTGTCCAATTGTTAAATAAGGTGGAATCAAAGTCGTTTCATCTTAGTAATTCTCAGCTTTTAAGTTTAATTTGGCTACATATGACCTAAGCTGTTGTGTCGCCAGTCAGTAATCTCTTTTCCCTTTATCTCTGCCACAATGTTACTTCATTCTCTCTGTTACATGTACTTTAACAGGCAAAGTTCAGTAGATTTGGTATCCTGTGTATCACCAGCCAGGGCCTAGTTAATTACACCATGGCATACAGCCCTGTGTATTTTCCCTTCCAGCTTAGTTTTATTGCTTGCTGTACTCATCTTAAAACAAACATATAGTTTCTTTTAATATCTCTGATTACAAGACTGTTTATGAATGAAAATACATTCATGATCACATTATAAAACAAATGTGATTTAGTTTAGTTTTTATTTATTTTATTGTGAGCTATGATTCTACTGCAAGTGTCTACAGTGATTCAGAAAATGCTAAGCATGTACTGTACATACAGTAATCCCATGTTTTTCGCTGGAAATACGTTCCTGAAACCCCCACGAAAAGCCAAAACTGCGAATACTCTTTTAGGAATCATTGTACAGTGGTCCCTCGGTTAACGAGCACAATCCGTTCCAGCAGGTTGCTCGTTAACCGAAACCATTGTTTCAATGGGTTTTTGGGTAATTGGTTCCAGCTCACCGAAAATTGCCTAAATTCAACAAAAAAGGTAGAAAAGTACACTTACTTTGAGGTGTGTATGTAGAAGGCTCCTGGATGATCATGATGATGGAAATTAGAATGGGGGTGGAGGAGAAGGGAGAAGAGAAGGCATTGGGGTGGAAGAGAAGTCACCCCATGGCACCATTTACCCATAAAATTTTAGTTCTCTTGGTGTAATTCAAGATTATTTTCTTTAAATCAACACTGCACTACATTATATATTGTCAATATGTAAAATAAATTTCAAAATGACCAATAATTTGCTTGGAAACACAGAAAAAAAGCGTTTAGTTGAAGAGAGTCTCAAGCAAGATGTTACCTCCTCTGAAAACAGAGAGAGACTAATGCCTGTCTGGTGTGTTAACAGGCTGGATGGCACCCCAGAAACTAGTTTCTTTACCTTCAATTATGTTCAATAATTGTTAAAATAACTAAAAAAGTTAATATTAAACTTTTAAAATTATTGAATAGTATAAACTTCTTGATATTTACTAAAATAGTAAGGAATTTAAGCCCTAAAACCGATTACTGTGTTGGCGGACTAATACTACAGCTGGTGGACCGCCAAATGCAAGCGAAAACATGTTGAAGTCGGCTCGTAAAAAACTCGTTAATCGGGGGATTGCTCGTTAACCGAAGTTAAGAATCTTATGGAAGGTAAATCGTTAACTGAAATCTCGTTAACCGAGGTGCTCGTTAACCGAGGGATCACTGTACTGTATTCAATAATTTTAAAAGTCTTATATTAAAATTTTGTCATTTTAACAATTATTTAGCAATTTAAGTACAGGGAAACTAGTTTTTAGCATGCCAAACAACATGTCAATACACCATACAGGCGTCAGTCTGTGTGTCTTTTCAGTGGAGGTAACATCTTGCTTCAGACTCTCTTCAACATAAACGCTTTTTTCTGTCTTTCCAGTCAAATTATTGGTCATTTCGAAATTTATTTTACATATTGACAATATATAATGCAGTGCAGTGTTGATTTAAAGAAAATAATCTTGAATTACATCAAGTAAACTAAAATTTTATGGGTGAAAATAATCTTGAGGAGCCTTCTACATACACACCTCAAAGTGTATTTTACTACCTTTTTTGTTGACTTAAGGCAATTTTCGGTGAGCTGGAACCAATTACCCAAAAACCCATTGAAACAATGGTTTCGGTTAACAAATTTTTCGGTTAACGAGCAACCTTCTAGAACGATTTGTGCTTGTTAACCGAGGGACCACTGTATATAATTTTTTAGTAAAAAAGTGCGAATGGTCAAAACCGCGATAAAAAAATGAAACGCGAAAAAACACAGGATTACTGTACTAGTGTTTGAATGTGCACTTTGACTGGACTTCAGAATTTCCTTATTTACTTACTGTATTTATCTATTTACCGGGCGTTTTTGTTACCCTTGACCTGAGGCACTCGGAGGGGTTTGAGCAATCTTTGTATCCTGTCAACAGAACTCCATCTCACAAGATCATTACCTTTCAAAGAAATTATAAGGAACTTTGCTGCACAAAAGTCAAGAAAAAACTGTAATGAAGGAGGCAGTTTCAAATTTGTATTTTGATTGTATTGTTGATAAATTTACAAGCCATTGTTAGTGATTTCTATGAAAATCTGAGTTGCTATGAATAAAGCTACAGAGTATTATTAGATGTGTTTGGTGTATTTAATTTTTGTCAGACATTTGTTAGACTAGAACATAACAAACACAAAAAATTACCCTAGAAAAGAAACCCCAGGCTTAATTTTCTAAGACTTCCAAAATTTTGATTATTATGGATAGGCCTGCAAGTTATTGTTGGTCTGCTTGGTGTACCCCATGTCTGGCCCAGTACAGTACCATACATCATTTCATTTTACATTTTTATCTTAAACATGGACATTTTGTACTGAACAGTACTGTATACTGTAATTTACAGTATGTGCTTTTTTTAGTTTTGTAAATGGTTGTACTTTTTGGGATCAGATATATTGAACTTGCTATATTATTGTGTTATGAGCTTTGAGGTACTGCTTCTAGAACCCTTGACGTAGGGTCTCTCCTAACCTTAAACAGGTCCTGCTGCCGGCAAGGCGGCCCACTGTTTTTGTGTGGATGTCGGGCTCCTTTCCTCACACAGCCAAACTGTAGAATGCTTTGCCTTCCTATGTTTACATCTTCTTACAGTCTGCCTCGCTTCAAAGAGTTTTTGACTTCTTCATTGTGTACACTAACACGTTTTCTCCTCTAAATTTTTTCTGTCCCCAGGGCCCCGTTGTGGGTCAATGACCTGTGCCCAGGTGGGCTATTCCCCATTTAAAAAAATGATGATAGCAAGTTGATTAGAGGCTACACCAGCCTTGTGTCTCACTCTAGTGCCTAACAATCATCAACTTTCCATTCTTATTACTGTACTGTAGTATTGTGTGATTTTTGGTGCACCACTTTAAATTCACGGCACTAAATGCCATTCATCTTAAAACAAAGCTGTCAAGATTTGGGTAAATCAGGTGAAGACGACTATAGCAGTTAAAGTTTTAAAATAACACATCATTGAAATTAATATTCCTAAGTTAATATGAAAGTAGAAAACATACTTGGTTATAACTTGATTTTTTATATAAGTGAATAGGATCTTGCTTAGTACAGTACAGTATGTTTCAGTTGTGTGCGTGTAATTAGTTTGTAAGTGAAGGAACAGGAGTGTGGGATGAGATGAAAGGATGATCCATACAATGGGATGCCTCTTCACAATACGGTCCTGGCACTGGTGTCATGTTTCAGATATATTTAAATGGATCATCTGAAGATTTGTCCTCAGCTTATATCACCTTAAGTTTAAAAAATGTCAGGATAACATAACCTAACCCTAACCTGATGACCATCATCAGTGGAAGTTAGCTGTAGGGATGGTGGCCATCATCAGTGGAAGTTAGCTGTAGGGATGGTGACCATCATCACTGGAAGTTAGCTGTAGGGATGGTGACCATCATCACTGGAAGTTAGCTGTAGGGATGGTGGCCATTGGACATTTCCTGTGTGGTTTGCATGCCAGTTTTGCACATATGGTGCTGGAGGAGGAAATACTTAGCTGTCATTTATAAGCTTTTGTATATCATATAATTATAATGAAGTTTTATTTAAACAGGATGTATGGATATCAGCATCAAGCTGTTGCAGGCCAGCAATATCAGCAGGCTGGCCAGGACCAGTATCAGCAGGCTGGCCAGGACCAGTATCAGCAGGCTGGCCAGGACCAGTATCAGCAGCAAGGCTACCAGCAACAAGGCTACCAGCCACAACAACAACTACAGCAACAACCACAACCACAACAGCAGGGTTACCAACCTCAAGCACAGCAGGGTTACCAGCTCCAGACACAGCAGGAATATCAACCACAGCAGCAGCAGTATGGTCAACAGCAGTATCAGCAGCAGGACCAGTATGGGGCACAGCAAATGCAGCAGCAACAGCAGCCACAACAGCAGCCACAGCAGCAACAGCAGCAAGCCTCATTCCACGAATTTATTGAATCACAAGAAAGCAAAGAGGTACTAAATTCTTTCCTGTTGGTTTTGCAGAGATGTAATCTGATACAGTTTGAGCATGTGAAGAGAATGTAGGAAACCAATTGGTTCAAGAGATGGTTAAGCCTAAATGTGAAGGGGAGGAGAGCCAGGGGTAGGTAGGCCAAGAATGAAATGGATATCGGTTGTAAGAAATGACATTAGAGTTAAGAACCTGACAAGATTGTGGAACATGGACTTGTGTACTCTATAGGTTTTAACACATTTTCATATTAAGGCAAAATCCTTTATTTATGTCTTATGTATTGAGATGTGACCAAAATATCAGTGTTGACAGACATGACTCAGTTGAGGTCCAGGTTTAGCTAATGCTTTAAAAGTTTGGAGAATTTTATGCCACAGTCTTGGGTCATTAACTTGGTACTTTTGTTAATTTTCTCTATAACAACTTACTTTTATTCAACAGGGTGTTCGCTTTTCTTGGAATGTTTGGCCGTCGAGTCGAATTGAAGCCACCCGTATGGTAGTGCCCGTGGCTTGTACATACACCCCACTGAAGAAACGTGATGATTTACCCCCGATCTGTTATGAGCCACTGAAGTGTACACAGATGCAGTGTGGAGCTATTTTGAACCCTCTCTGTCAGGTAAGAATACTGTACAGTACATGGTAACCTTTTTTTCCCATTAGGAACTGGTGCTATATCCTTTATGAATTTAACCATTAGTGTTGTGGATGTCATTACAAATTGGTACTGGGAAACTTTTATGGCAATTAATGTGAATGATTTTTTCCAGTCATCCAAATACTGACAGAATGGGAGCTACTGTTTGCATGTATTAAAATAAGGTAGTACAGTATTTGATATTTGATTTATGGCTCTTGTTCAGGTTGACTTCCGCTCCAAGATGTGGGTGTGTTGCTTCTGTTTCCAGCGTAACCCCTTCCCTAACACCTACGCCTCCATCAGCGAGCAGAGTCAGCCGGCTGAACTCTTCCCTACCTATTCCACCATCGAGTACACCATCATGGTTAGGCATTGTTGTATACCGTACTGTTCTGTTGGTTACAGCGTTGACTTGTGACTCCCACTGCTGGCTATATTATAGTACATATAATAATTAATATTAAGTAAGATGGTAATAACAGAGTATCTTTTATATGGTAATGTTGTCGAAAATTTATGTCATAAGTTTGGCAAATATTGTTACAATTGTTTCTGTACATGACTTGTCTCTGTCCCTCCCACAGAGGCAGCAGAACATGCCCCCAATATTCGTATTTGTGGTGGACACGTGTGTGGATGAAGAAGAGCTGGCGGCGCTCAAGGAGTCCATCACCATGTCCCTCTCCCTCATGCCGGCCAATGCCCTCGTCGGTCTCATCACCTTTGGTCGTCATGTTCACGTAAGTTGATTTTGGTTAGATTTTTACCCTGACAATAAAATTTTAAGACTAGTTACTGGTATTTGTTTTGAATAATTGGACAAACAGTCAAACGGTAGATCTATACATAAACAAACATTTACTGAGGACGATACAAAAAAAATTAGTATGGCGATTCTTATTTGCACTGTAGTCCTTGTAGCTTACTGTATTGATCCATGTAAATGAGCCAATGATTTCCTTTGCTGAATCTTTTCATCTTAATCATCTAATTATCTTTCTCCCACCATCTTCCTCCTGAGTTATACCTCTACTGTACTGTACAATCTTTGGGCCTGTCTTTCAGTTTCCAGACATACAGTTTGTCCTTGATACCATAATTGATACATGTATAGTGTTACTGTATTACAGATGTTTAGGTATACTATAATTACAGTACTGTACAGTCAGTATTTTCTTGACAAGTTAACTTTTGTGTCTTGTGTAAAAAAAATTGAATTTTCTTTTATATTTATGGAAAACTATAATTTGTCATAGTAAACGTAACTACTGTATACTGTACAGTCTTATATTATCATTAAAAACTGTGTAAGACCTTCCAATGGTGTTGAATACTTTTGTACAAAGAATGAATGTGTTGGTTTAAGAGGTAAAGTGCCTGAGGTACTGCTTGTGATGTTACAGGTTCATGTTTTGGCTAATGAAGTGATGAGGAAGCAGTATGTTTTCCCTGGAGGGAAGGACCAGACAGCAAAGACAGTACAAGAGTACTTGGGAGTAGGACTTAAAACTACAACACAGTCCCAGGTAAGTTGTGATAACAACACAGTACTTATTCTTGTTTCTTTAACTCCCTAAGCTTTGGTTCATATCATATAACATGTGCTTGCAGGTGCAGGGCTTATGTTCATGTCATATGACATTTTGAAATTTCATGATACTGTTTGAATCACCATGCGTACCTTGCGAGATTATGTTGCCAGATAGGTCTTTATCTTTCACTCACTCACACATGCCATAATAAAACAAGTATTCTGTACCTCATACTGCCTACAAATTAGTGTTGTTCATGCACAATCTAGACCCTTCCTAGCCCCGATGAATCCAGCCTGTGTTAAGGTGTAAAGGCCTGGGACTTAGGGATAGAAATCCCTTACCAGACTAATCAGGATCTTAAAAAAGGAAAGTCAAGGACCATGGTTTTCTGAGGAATAACAAACAACCGTTTGAGATTGACACCTCTTTACTATAAAAATATAACGCAAAACTCTTGACACCACTCAACAACATGAAATAACAATTACGGGATTCAACAATTAAAGCAGTCAACTGTTAATGGAAGTCCAACAATTAATGGAATCAAACAATTAATGGAAGTCAACAATTAATGGAATCAAACAATTAATGGGAGTCAATAACTGATGGAATCAAACAATAAAAGGGAGTCAGCAATTAAAGGAATCAAACAACAATAAAATCAAACAATGAACAGATATTTCCTACGACAGCAGCCCTGGGAAAGGTTCTGGAATGCAGTGATCCACTCCCAGGGGGACGGTCCTTTCAACTGCTCACTCGAGCGACAGCGGCCAATGTCTAGATATAGCAGGAGAACACCGGGGCACAGACGGAGGAGATGAACTGACGGTCGTGGTATGAGGTACAGAGGATTGACAGTCGATAAGTGAAAGTCTGGGGACACAGCCCACGAGTCCCGAGCCTTTGACGAGATCACAGCCAGAATTTGCCGAACAGCGGGGGAAGTAGTGACTGTACTGACGGCTGAGTAGGATCTGAGACGGTGACACTGGTAGCAGTGACGTTTTTACCTCCGTCCAACCCCCCCAAATAGGGGTCGCGCCAGCAAACGAGCAGTGGTAATGAGCAGGAAGATCGTTTCTGCCCTTACATAAGGACATGTATTTTTTACTGCTTATATCATGCATGACCAATTTATAAGATTATATATGGTATATATATATATATTTTTTTTTGGGTTGAGGGGTTAAATTTTCCTGAATATACCCGCTTAGGGGAGGTATTCCTGGAGGTTACGGAGATCATCCACACCATTGATAGTTCTAGTACTGCATATCCCCCTAGTGAGGCTCTACATAGTACTGCATGTTCATGTACACAAGAATTTATTTGATATAATTATTTTGTTGTAATTTATCATTTACACCACTTATGAGCTTATTAACCATTCAGGCAGCGGGTCTGTTCTTTGTTGTTTTGCTATGACCTTTAGTCTTGTGTTAGTACAGGAGGAAACCAGAGTACCCAGAGAAAACCTGCCATGTTTGGTAGTGTTACACTGGATAACACCGTTCTCACATGTGTTCCAGGTCAGGGATTGTACCCAGGTCAAACTCATGATATACATATATGTGTGATAACCACTGTACTGTACCACCTACATCCTTATAGTTATATGTTGTGAATGTTGCAGATGCCAGGTCAAGCTGCACCTGCCCCTCAGCCAGGTCAGATGAACAACAGGTTCCTACAACCAGTTCAGGAGTGTGAGATCATGCTACAGGACATCCTGGCAGACTTGCGCCGTGATCCCTGGCCAGTTATGACCGGCAGGCGTTCTTTACGAGCATCAGGAGCAGCGCTGTCAATTGCCATTGGTCTGTTAGAGGTAAGGTTTATAAACTAGTCACCATGTTTTGTAGGTATAACCATGTTCAGTTTATAGATTGTATTTAATTGTTGGGCAAGTTACCAACAATTATTATCACCAAGTGTGTATAAATTACCAATCAGTCACATTCTTGGGGCTCATGTTAGGTTGGGTTTTACTGTTATTATAAATTATTCATTTTTACTTAAGAATGTTTGTTCTTCAGGCATGTTATCCAAATACTGGTGCCCGGATTTTGACTTTCCTTGGTGGTGCTTGTTCCTATGGCCCGGGAATGGTGGTTGATGATGATCTACGTAAGCCTATTCGGTCTCATCACGACATTGAAAAGGTAAGTGTAGCAGTCGGTGATTTTTGTACATTTCTTGATACTCCCAGTCATGTTATTTCCCTCAACTGAAACCTAGAATTGCAAACATTCTGCATTTTCTTACCATGTTGAATGGAAAGTCACAGCCTTATTTTAAAAAAAATTGGGACCTTGGACTCTTTTGCAAACTGTACACTGTAACCTGCCAGGAAAATATGTTGGTTGTAAATTCAAGTTAAGGTTCCTTGCTGCAACAATATTTATCTCGTTTCTCAAGTGCCCCTGAACAGTGTTCATCTTCTGGGGAAGTTTCATGTTCCTTTCAGTGTTGTTGTGTTAAAAGCTTAATAGTTTGGTAGATTGTTATTTTTAAGGTAGACCTTTGAATGTGATGTTAACTATTTTAATGTTGCTCTCCATTTTCTCAAAAGTTTAATTTTTGTGCATTGTCGGGGTCAGGACAGGTGGGCGGGGTAACACTGAGGGTCAGGGAGGCAGACAGTGGTATCAGTATGGCTGAAAGTGTTGTGGAATCAGTTTGGGATCAGGAAGGCTGCCAATGGGTAATCAGTGGTATGGTATTGGTTAAGGCTCAGCAAGTCAGGTTCACCATAGGCTTTACTGGGGTATAAAAATTTCTTAAGCCTCAAAACAACTTTTGGTGTGTACTGTACCTTATAGCTTTTGTCGATATTCAAGTGATTTTTCCGCTAGGAGCTGATAACCAAAGTTTGTTGTTTTTGATCTCCAGGATAGCTGTCAGTACATGAAGAAGGCCATCAAGTTCTATGAAGCGCTGGCCACAAGGGTATCTGATAATGGCCACATTGTAGACTTGTATTCATGTGCCCTGGACCAAGTAGGGCTGCATGAAATGAAATACTGTTGCAACAGCACAGGGTGAGTGTGAGATAATGGATCTTGTGGAGATTACAAGCATTGGTGGTTTCACCTGAGGGTTGAACTCCCTTATGCTAATGTGACCAAAGTTAACCAAACCTACAATAACCAGATCTAACTTACCATTTCTAATTTAACCAAATCTAACCTAATGAAGCCAAACTTAACCTAACCCTCCATTTAGGCTTCGGGTGCTTATTCATCAGGTGATGTACTGTAGGTAGGGCTTCCTCATCTTCATGGGATCCATAATAAATCATTGATCTATCTTATATTAATGATTTGTTTTGGATCCCATGAAGGTTGGGAATCTCTTGTCTATAGTTACAAGTTTATGTCTGGTATTTATTTATTAATATGAGAAAAAAAAATATTTAAGTTAAAATATTCTAAATTTGGAGCATTGTGATATGGTAAAACTTTTATTACTGTACATATTATTTAACTTTTATTATATTTTACGTAATAGATTTATTACTGTACACATTATTGGTCAACTTTTATTATATTTTATTCGTGCATCTAATGGTTACAATATTTGTTTCAGTGGTAACATGGTGCTGGGCGACTCGTTTAACTCCTCTCTGTTCAGGACGACCTTCCAGCGCGTGTTTGCCCGCGATGAGAAGAGTAACCTCGAGATGGCCTTTAATGCCACGATGGAAGTCAAAACCTCAAGAGAACTGAAGAGTTAGTATGATGTATATTGTCTTAGGTTAACATTTGTCATACCCATTTATGTTTCTCCAGAGTGATCTCTATAAGTGGTACCATATGGAGTGGAGTTGGGTTAGGTTTTGAACTTTGGATTGGGAATAAGAGACATTTATTTATACTGGGTGTGTTTGTCTTTCATATTTTACATTATTTTATTTATACTGGGTGTGTTTTGTCTTTCATATTTTACATTATTTTATTTATACTGGGTGTGTTTGTCTTTCATATTTTTGAGGTTATTAACCCTTAAATGGCAGCCATCATCTAAGGGGGTTAGGTGTAGGTTTGGTGGCCATCATCCGTGGAAGTTAGCTGTAAGGATGACGGCCATCATCCATGGAAGTTAGCTGTAGGGACGGTGGCCATCATCCGTGGAAGCTAGCTGTAGGAACAGCGGCCATCATCCGTGGAAGTTAGCTGTGGGAACAGCATCCATCATTTGTGGAAGTTAGCTGTAGGGATGATGGCCCATCATCCGTGGAAGTTAGCAGTAGGAACCGCGTCCATCATCTTTGGAAGTTTTGTGATCCTTGTGTTTCATTTCTTTCTCATGTGAGGATTTCTTAGCCACCGATTAAGGATTAGGTTTTAAGATGGGTCATAATTCAGAGACGCTCTGTATGTTTGTTAAATAAGTTGTCTTAAATTGGTTTATTTGAAATATTGTACTGTACTGTATTTAGTGTATCCTTATTAAAATCCTTTTCTTTTTTATTAACAGTCGCTGGAGCTTTAGGGCCCTGTGTGTCTGCTCATGAGAAAGGCCCCAATGTTGCGGAAATGGAGATTGGAATAGGAAACACGACCAAATGGAAGATGTGTGGGTTGACGCCCAGTACGACAATATCAATATTCTTTGAAATCGCCAACCAGCAAGGCTCGGACATTCCTGGTGGGCGTGGACATGTACAGTTCATCACCAGATACCAACATCCATCTGGTCAGACAAGATGTAGAGTCACAACAGTTGCAAGGAAGTAAGTCAATTATTTATTTATTTTTCTTCGGTATGATTGTCTTTGTGCACTCTATTATATGGAAACAAGTTCCAGACTGTGTGTGTTAGCTACTTGACTTTATCGGGACAGTCATGACTCATATAAAATGTAAGTATTGAAAATTACCTTTTTGACTTGAATGTATCTTAGAATTATAAGTTTCAAAGCTTATGAATACAAATAATTAAAATGTATTTCCACAGTTGGGCAGACCCACAGAATGGCCAGCATTTCATATCAATTGGGTTTGATCAAGAAGCAGCTGCAGTATTGATGGCCCGTTTAGCTGTCCATCGATCAGAAACTGATCAAGATGGAACTGATGTTCTTCGTTGGGTAGATCGCATGCTCATTCGATTGGTAAGTTTCTTATTTAATTTTTCATTTATACACACACCTAGCCTTTGTAAACAGGATATTTTTTTGTGATGTAATTGAAAACTTTAAAGAATGAGCTCTCCTTGATTGAGTTGTCATAGTGTGTTCGAACTGACTTAATGAAATAATTGATTACATTATCACTTTACGCCACTCCAGCTAAGTAATGTTTTTTTTCTTTTTCCAGTGTCAAAAGTTTGGAGAATTTACGCCTAATGATCCCAACAGCTACAGATTCCAGGATAACTTTAGCCTGTACCCACAATTTATGTTCCATCTCAGACGATCACAGTTCCTGCAGGTGTTTAATAACTCGCCAGATGAAACGTCGTTCTACAGGTGTGTATTTTGCCAAGCTTATAACTCAAGAATTACTAAACATTGGCAAGCAGGTTAAAATCTCTTCCAGTTGAATTAGAAACATAGTGAATATTTTAAATGTTGTCGGTAAAGCAGCACTGGCAGATTGATTACCGTTAATTGATTGATTAATATTTATTAAATAAAATTGTCATTGAAGTTTACAAGTACAATTGGTTCAGCATGTATATAGACAGTGCAGGTATACAAACAATGGTAAATAAGTGAGGCAGCTCGACCAAGGGTAGCAAACAAAGCCTTCAGATGCTTATTTCCTGTAGGGTCTTTAGTTGTTGCTTGTACGGTTCTTATCAGCAGATTTTGGTCACTCAACTCAACCCAACCCAAGCTTCAAACAGTGGGAATCCCCATCTTTTAACATAGGAAGTAAGAGTATAGAGAGGCAGTGTAGCAGGTGTGTTTGATAGAGGAAGATCAGTTGAAATGAGTGGGTGGCCTAGTGGTGACTTGGATCAGACTAAATCAACCTTGTGTACAGATGTATCCTGGCTTACAGTAAATCAGTCTTGTTTACAGATGTATGCTGGCTTAGAGTAAATCACCCCTATTTACAGATGCATGTTGAACCGGGAGAGTGTGACAGAGTGCCTTACCATGATCCAGCCAGTATTATACAGCTACTCCTTCAACGGGATCGACGCGGTCATGCTGGATACATCGTCCATACAGCCAGACCGCATCTTGTTGCTCGACACTTTCTTCCTTGTTCTGATTTTCTTGGGAGAGGTGAGTTAGCTGTTATTGGGGTGGGTGAAGAGCTGAGTGTTTTGTTGATATTGAGTGAAGGAATGAGAGATTTCTTGGCATTGAAAGGAGGAATGAGTGTTTCATTGATGGTAGGTAAAGGACTGAGTGGTATGTTGATGTGGTATTTTGTGGCAAGTGAAGAACTGATGAGTGTTTTGTCGATGTAGTTTAGGGCAGTGTTTTTTTTTCTTTGTTAAAGAATGTCTAGTATTTTCTTGATGTTGAATGGAGGACTGAATGTTTTTTGTAATGTTAAATGGAGGACTGAGAGATGTCTTTAATGTTGAATGAAAGATTAGTAGATTTTTACTTTATGTGAAATGGAGGATTGGGTGTAATGTTGATCTGAGTTTTCTTTGTGGTAAATGGATCACTTGAGTATTGTCTTGATGTTTAAGTAAAAGGTTTCATCGTGTTATAACTGCACATATTTGTATCCATGTTCATTGATACTTGACCTACCTTTGATCATAGAGATTTACTTACTTTTGAAGATGATGTTGAAATTTCAGACAATGGCAGCATGGAAGAAAGAGGGTTACCATGAACAAGAGGAATATTCATCCTTCAAGGAGCTTCTACAGTCCCCGATTGATGACGCCCAAGAAATCCTCGCGACAAGGTTCCCCATCCCTAGATACGTAGAGACAGAGCAAGGTGGCTCGCAGGTAACTGTCACCACAGAGATTATATAATCATGTACTATAAGATTATTGGTGTAAATGTCAAGGTACATTTAAGTGAGAACCATATTGTATGATCACATATAAGGTTGAAGTACAAAAGATTACAGTAAACTCTTGGTATAATGGACTGATTGGGGGAAGACTGTGGCTGCTTTAGTTGAAAATCCGTTGAAACTAATTGCCCAATTATTATTTCAAACTAAAGGGGGGTTTGAAATACCCGATATTTTGAAATAAATTTTATTATTTACTATTGTGTAAATCAAAATATCCGGTACATTCTTGGTAACAAAATATTTCAGATTAATCCTCCATAAATCCTTGAGGTATGTTCGTCAAATCTCTGGTTATTGAAAAAGAATAATTTTTACATATTTTGCCCAGAAATATACACGGTCTCTGTCCAGATCACTAGATTCACCCCTAAAAGTAGCTTTAACTGTACACTGTAACATTAAAACTTAAAATTGTAGGCATATATACAGCGATAACAAAAATGAAAGAATAAAAAGCGCAAAACTGATACAAATCTCAACACACTGTCACTATCATATCACGGACGCTGGCTTCCCTAGCAACAGTGACCCTCTGAACTTAACGCGCTCGTCACACGGCTACACGGTGGAAACACATAATGTAGATGCTTAAAACTTTATATCTTATAATAATTATTTATTTTTTCTTGCACAATCTGTTTGGAGGATTGTGTGTGCACGTAACTGAGTGAAAGAAAATTATCCATATCTACCTGAAATTATGCTAGAAGAATAACCATAACATAACATATAGCTATCAGGTGGGGAAAGGTTGGAAATTTTCCCACTTTGTCTGATAGCAAGGTATTGTAGACAAGCCCAGCATAAAGGAGCATGAAACAAATGTGGTGAGGAGTAGAAAAATGCATTGTGCATTCTGATAATTGTTAAGTTTTAAATAATTATCAGCTTGTCTTATTGTTTATCACATATTACAGCTCTTCCATTTAGTATTCCTGCAATAATGAACTATGAGACAAACTGCCCAGGTTTGTCTGATAGGTTTAGGGTGTCCGTTATACCGAGGGTTTACTGTACCTACTGTATTGGTGTTATTATGGGGGTACTGTACATGTGAGCATTATATCTTAAGTATTATTTATTTATTTATTTATTTTTATAAGGATTAGCCCACCCGGGCACAGGTCACTGACCCATATCAGGGCCTGGGGGGAGAAAATAAAAAATAATAATAATTAATAAAAATAAATAAAAACCTATTCAAAAAAAATAATAATAATAATAAAGAACCATAAATAAATACAAAGATGAAAGTTTTGAATGGTTATATATTTCTTTAACTTTGACATTTCTTCCTGCAGGCACGATTTCTCCTGTCAAAGGTGAACCCCTCACAGACGCACAACAACGCCATGTACGGAGGGGTGAGTATCTCCTGTCCCTTCTTAACTTTTACCTTGTATTTGTCAGTGAATTTGCTGCTAATATTGTGTAGCTTTGTCAGTATTAACCTCATCCTGTATTATTAAGAAAGTTGGCTTAATTTTTTTTTTTTTTGCTTAAAAATCCCCATTAGTCTTGTCGTGTTAAACAATATTGGAATGTTTGCTTAAAGAACTGGCTAAATTTTTGTGAATCGTCCTAATAATGTCATCCTGTTTTGTCATATTTGTTACATGGATTTGCTTGTCTTTGTGCTCGAGTTATTCTTTAATCTCATCCTCTCTATACAAGTAGTCTTTTTTCATGAAGAATTTACCTACGTTTTTAAGCTGGAATTTATTTATTAATCTCCTAATTCCTAATACAGTAAGAATTAGCTTAAGGTGTTTTGTGCTTAGTTTTCATCAATCTTATTCTCAAAAATGTTTATTGTATTTCATCGAGTTTTTGTTTAGTATTTAACATCTTCAAAATTTTTATTCTCTTCTCATTAAGTATTTGCTAAAGATTTTTGTATTTGGGTTTGGCAGATACAGAATTCCATTGTTGTTTGATCGTCTTTATTTTGCTGTAATTAATTGGGGGTTACAGTTTAAATTATCTACAAGTAATTTCTAGTTTGTGGAGTTACTAGTGCTGTACTAATTAGTGATCTTATTACTGTATTGGTTTAATGTTGAGTAATTTAGTTGGGGTTTGTAAGCACCTCTCTGTTAAACAATGTCATGTGATGTTAATTAGTATTTTGATATTAAGTGTTTGTTAATATATTATTTTGGGGTTTTAAGTACAGTATCTCCCTATTGAGAAATATTAATGTGAAATGATTTTATTAGGAGGCTTTTTGGTGTTAAGTGTTTATCACTTAATTTAGTTGGGTTTATAAGCACCTCCCTATTGAAAAAAAAATATATTAATGTGAAATTCCCAATTCTTTCAGTCTACGATCCCAGAAAGCAAATCAACGGTATTTATTTAATTATTATTTTTGACACACTGGTGATGGCCTGAACACTGTACTGTACTTATCTGTCCATTCAGCACTTTTAGTCTACAATGACTAATGTCATTCTTGGTGATGGTTGTAACAAACTACTACTTTCCCTGGCTGGTTTAATGGTCTTCACTTACCTCTACTGTACCAACTCTTTTTTTTACAGCCACAATACACACAGTTTGAGGTATTGTGCACTGCTTTGTATATCCTGAATGGATTATAGGTCTGTCTTTAAGTCTATATTTTACTAATTATCACTTACTGTTAAACATGTAATTTGGTTATGGAGAATGGCTTCCTTTTGTGCTCTGGTAAAACTAAATTATGGTGCTGGAAAAATGTTTGAACCATTTCTGATATAAAACTTTGCCTGTCCTCGATGTCCTTACCAATTTGTAAGATTTGACAAGTTTTGTTTCGTGAGAGCCAAGTGAGTTGTGCTGTGATATTGGCTAAGATTTAAAAAAACTGGGCAGTTTAGTCGATGTTTCGGTTAATCTCGCCCTTTATTTTTTCCTATGTTTAATTTTCTATTTGGTTCTCGGTTTTTGAACTTGTGAATTGGGAGAACTACAGTATAGTAAAGTCTCCCTTCACTGAGCTAATTAGTGTGGTTGGTCGGGTTAACCACTTGTGTATAGGGACCCTCTACTGAATAAAATGATGAAGGGGTTAAGGGAAAAGTGCAGTTACTGTATTTATGAAGTTCCTCTTAACTAGTCAGATGCCTCACTAACCTTTCATGTATACAGTTGTGGACAAAATTCCCTGGACAGTATTTGGCATGTAAATACTGTACAGGCATACTAGGTGATCATTAGCTGAGAGGGGTTTGAAATTTTAATGTATTTCCTCATTTTTATATATACTTTTTTCAAATTTGTGATTCCAATGTCATATGTGATGAAAAGCAGCGTTATTAAATATAAACTAATCATATATACAGTATATATGATCCAGAAGTAGATGCCAGATATTGCTAAGTGTTTAGGGAATTTTGTCTGCAACTGTATACAGTACGTGTTTTCTTTTTTACCATGATAGTGGAATGGAAGACACCAGAGTACGTACAGAAAGAGTTGTCCTGTACTCTATACTAGAGGCTGCTAACTCACTCAAGGGTGGAAAATGGCCAAAAATTGTGGGACGATGATCTTCAAAAAGAAAAAAACCACTGTTCCTAAATCTGTTTATTGCAGATGCATGTTGTGGAAACATCTGGTAGAAGGAGACTTTACTGTTGTTGTGAAGCAATATAAGAATATATTTATTTGTATTTTCGTGATTTTCTTTTATTGCTCAACTTGTGAAACTGGTATGGAGCTCAGAAGTTCATCTCCCATTCTTCTAAGTTTGTTAGTTATGTCACTGCATAATTTTATTATATTTGGCACAACTTTGTGTTGTGATAATGCGGACACATTTTTTGATGAGACAAAACATGATGGTTTTTTTTATATAAATTTTTGAACCTAAGAAATTTGTGGGGTCAGACTACCAGTGAGGATGTTTTGTTTCTTTTGACCGTTGTCACTAAAATATTTTACATCTGCATGTGGCTCAGGCTAGCCACTTGTTTCCTTCACAAAATAGACAAAAGTGAAAAGAACAAGGTGCACATTAAAAGGTCGAGGGAGTACTGTACAGTAGGCTCTCATATTTGGACACCTATTTAGACTGTAAAAACCTCGCGAAATTCAAATCGTCCAAATTTAAATACAACTTACTATGGAGAAAATTAATTTGAGTCTGGTACTTTTGATGTTTGGCTAAATTTTGCCTTATTTACCCTACTTTTTTGGCAAATTGCTACCTGTAATAAAGCAACATCCTAATAAACCAATGAAAATAACAGATAAAGTTAAATAAAAACGAAAACAACACAGAAAAAGTTCTTATGTTCTACAGCTTCAGGTAGAGTTGAACCTGATGACTTGGCAACTTCGTCATCTGAGTAAAAACACACGCAACAATATTGGTTGTCCTTATATTTTCAATTTTGCCACCACTGGTGGGTATAATTTTTGTTTTAAAATCAGAAACATTAATTAAAATATACAGTACAGTATATGAACAGTAAGTAAGTGTTGCTTTCATATTCTTATGTAGAGTAATGACGATATGTTTTCACATATGCGCACTTACATACTCTATCTCACTTTTTCTTTACCATTAATGGTTAGCTACATCTATTGTTCCATTTATTAACATTAAATAACATTACTTAAAACATCCATATATATTTTTTTTACATTAATTTTATTACAGCTACAACCAGGGTCTTATTTTCTTCAGTTTTATATGTAGAACCAATCAGTCACTGGTTTTGTAAACATTAACAAAAACAATGCCGTTTCGTCTCCTCATGTGTTTCAATATTCTACGTACACTGAACCCTAACTTTACGGGGTCACTTGAACCCACGGTGGCCCACGTAAAGTGAGAAACGCGTAAAGTGAACATTATAACATATGGGATTAATTGAAATAGAGACCGGGCCAACCCCCAAACTCCACTTTTTCAGACACAATACCTACATTGTAGTAAAAATAACTTCTTAATTTTATGATGGTATGCACACACAATTAATAATTAAGAGAAATATCAATAATATTAGGTTTTTTAACACTTACATTAGTAGAAAAGATGGCTGGGCACACGGGGATGGGGGGTTGGTTCCGAGGCAGAGGGCAGATTATTGGCCCTCACTGTATCACTTGTATCAATTGTATCACTATCCACCACAGAGGCTTGCAGGGCCTCTTTGTCAAACCCCTCAAAGTCCATATAAGTCCATATCTTCACTATCATTATCACTGACTTGGGCCAGCTGTGGTGGGTGGCGGGTGAAGAACTCGGTAATGTTTTGATGACTGGGCGACCTTGTGCGCACCCTGCTCGCGCCGCCCTCTGAGTAAAAGGGTACACACACCGCGGAAAGTGAGCATTCCGTGTTCGGCAGGGTACCGCATAGATGTGGAAACGCGTAAAGTGGGACCGCGTAAAGCGAGGGTTGACTGTATTATTAATGAATTGTATTGTTAATTTTGCACACATAAACATTATTTCAATCAAAAAGACATTCACAAATAAACAATAATGAATCTTTTGTACATAAGAGAAATGCCGCTGTTTATACGATTGTGCACGTCTGAATGTTGGCGGGCCGCTCAAACCCGTCGAAATTCGAATGTAGTGTTTTTTGTGTCCAAATAAAAAAACGTTGAATAAAAAACTTGTGAAATTTGAGAACCTACTGTACTGTACTGGAAATTCCCCAGTCCTTGGTACCTGTATATGTGGAGATTAGTTGGTCTATTTTATGACATGTATTTGGCTGATGTGCACCAGAGGAGAAGTGATACATTCTAAAACACAATGCATGAGCCTCCCTAACTTGTTATTGCAGAATGGCATGTATGGTACTGATTGATATTACATGTTAGTGGTGGTGGTGGTGAATTAACGAGTTAATTTATAAGTTATCCTTTATGAATTAGACATAAGAACTGAAGGACATAATTATTTGTCTGTATTTAGTGTTGAACTATAACTTGTTATTGAGTTAAGTGTTTGTGATAATAATCATGAATTACATTGCAAATTAGGAGTACAGTAATTCAGTGTTTTTCGCGGGAATTACGTTCCTGAAACCCCCTCGAAAAGCCAAAACTGCAAATACTCTTTTAGGAATCACTGTACCTGTGGCCACCAAACAGCTCAGGTAGGTCATGCACTTAACCACGCCATGCTTTCCACTCACGGCCCAGTGGTCACACTGATGCACTGTACCGGCATTTACTAACATCATTATTTGGAACTAATCATACTGTAGTATAATAATGGAAAAACGTAAACACGGTTATATAAAATGAATGTTTATTTACAAGTACTGTAAATAAATTTTTTTATATTTCCCCGAGGTCAGCAACACCCGCATTGCCAACCTCTCCCTGCCAGTCCTCTTCTACCCACATTCCTCCACTTGAAGAATTGTATTCTGACAAAAGACACAAATGAATTGTCAGTCTTCACCAGATCTCGAGCCATAGCTCATACCACCTCTGAGCTTGTCCAATAGAACAATTTTTTCCGTTAAGGTCATCACTATTCTTGATCTCTTGGTCACTTTAGAGTCTTTGTTAGTAATATTTGCCTTTGATGAGGCTGGCTTACGTCCCGGAGCCATGTTGAATGCATGTGGGAGGACAAACAAAAGAGGTAATCACAGTAGCGTTCACAGTACCGTAGGCACGTGTGGACTGAGGCTTCTCGGAGCAGCGGGAGAGGGTGGCGCCTGTTTGCCGTACCGCACGGGAATATCGAAAATGGCGCGAAATTTTAATTATTTTTTTAAAGGATATTTTATATATACAGCTCCTCCCCGACTTACGACGGGGGTAGGGACCCAAATCCAGGTCGTAAATCGAAAAAGTGAAAATAATACAGTGGTCCCTCGATTAACATACAATTGGTTCCAACTCACAGAAAAAGTACACACAAAGTAAAGCCAAAAAATGCATAAGGTCAGAAACAGAAATCCCCAAAATCGGCCTTAAATCACTATATACTGTATACATTTTTTATATACAGTATATATATATATATATATATATATATATATATATATATATATATATATATATATATATATATATATATATATATATATATATATATATATATATATATATATATATATATATATATACTAGAACTTTTAAATCACTACAAGTGATTAATTTTTATCTCGTGCAAAATATATGACGTTTATATTGAAATTATTCACTTTCTTGCAAGGATTCCAGCAATGCAAATTATATTCTCCTAACTTTAGTCTGAGATATTATATAATATAAAAACTTAAAGCCTACTGTATAACCACCACACCTTCGCTGGGAGGAAAGGAGGGGTGACAGTGATATGTTTGACAGTTAGCGCTGAAGGTCCATTGAAGTATTTTTGTTTATTTATGTCCTTAAGGTTGAGTTTTTGTTTTATGTTTGTAAAATGTCATAGAAGTGACTGGGGAAAATATAATTTACATTGCTGGAATTCTTATAAGATAGTGATTAATTTGAATGTAAACATCATATATTTTGCACAAGAGATATAAATTTTAGTACATAGTACATTTTAATAATGTACAATTTTTTCAACTGTATCTTTGGGTAGAGTTACATAAATTTCTGGGTGTCTCTTTTTCTTCTCGGCACCATGAGAACTCTCACTTTTACGCTTGCCAGCCATTTTAAAGGGAATTCCAAAATTTTGTCTGTGTACTGACGTTGGGCTCGAAAATACATAATTTGTCAAAATTTTGGTTCAACTGAGGCTGGTCGTAAGTCAAGTAGGTCGTAAGTCGAGGAGGAGCTGTATATAATTTTTGGGTAAAAAAAAATTCGAATGGTCAAAACCGCGATAAATAAACCCCGCAAAAAACACGGGATTACTGTACATTATTTTTTATTTACTGGTAAAAGTAATTTTGAGTATACATATAAACTCTTGACTATTTTAGTTTGTTAACAACTGAATATAAAATTATTTAATTGATTTAGAAATTTTAAGGTCTATATTAATTGTGCAGTCAAGTCCAAATGAATTATCGTACAGTACAGGTACTTATAATTTTGATTCTTTATACAGGGTCATTTTTTATTCGAGAACCCTAAATGATTATTTTATTTTAGGACATACAATAAACAGGAACCTAAATATCTGAAGCAATAAAGTCTAATCATTTTGTGAAAAACACTTACCCTGTATGTTCTTCACAATGATCAGGCTTTATTCTTGTTGATTTTTAGGATCCTTTTTATTGCAGGTCCTAAATACAGTATAGTAATAATTTAGGGTTCTTAAATAAAAAAATTACTGTATAAGACCATTGTATGGTAATTCCTGTGACATGGATTAGATATAAGCAGGGTAAAGGATATCTCCTTGGTCAACAGTGAACCTGGATGGTCCTGCCAACTTGTTTCACATTGCAGTGTTTCTGAAGAGTTTTCAAGCACTTCAGTCAGTCTTTAATCTTTCACACACCACCATACTTTTTTACTGGTTTTAAAAATTTGGATATATATACAGGGTGTCTCAAAAGAAAATATATACACTGCTCTATAGATTTTCATGGTGATTACATGAATGCTTGTATTAGAACAGCAACATTATCTTCACAAGTGAGGACAATGTTGCTGTTTTAATACTGAACAGGTATTCATGTGATTGCCACACAAAATTTAAAGCAGTGTGTATACAGTACAGTATATTGTTTTGAGACACCCTGTACAGTATGTAACAGCTGGTTGATTTTGTTTCAACATCAAAGATCATATACAAGTAATACTGTGATGACAATTATTTTAATACATGAGGAAGTTACTTCAGTGTATACCGTACATATTGGCTGGTTTTGTGTGTTCTAAGATATTTCTGTCTGTTTTGTTTCTGAAATCAAACTTTGAATCTTTCAATGAATTTCATCAGAAGTTATATACAGAGCGTCCTCACTTGACGTCGGGGTTACATTCCTGAAAACTCGACGTTATGCGGATCTATTTTCCCCAAAAGAAATAGATAAAATACGGGAGTTACGTTCCTTAGCCTCCCTTTGTCCCATGAAAAAAGTTACATATACCCGTACAGAAAATCATTGCCATTTCTATAGAAAATACTCTATAGAACTACATTACTAAGTTTGTATTGGTACTCACTCCTTTGTTGTTGGCGGGAATGTCTCGGCAGCAACCGTATCTGAACTGGCAGCTTCGCCAGTCATCTTTATGTTGTGGAAGTTATAACGACGCTTAAATCGTTGAAACCATCCCTGGCTGGCTGTAAAGGTATCTTCCTTTGATCCTTCACTCTCTGTTTCCTTCCTGTCGCCAAACAAGGATCTGGCCTTATGCTGCATAACCATAAGGCTCACAGGCGCATTGCGTTGATTCTGGTCCCCCATCCACATTGCCAGCATCTTTTCCACCATCTCTTATCACAGTGCTTCTAATACAAGTCGTCTTTGTAGCACCAAGAGAAGAACCACTTCCAGCACTATCCTTAATCTTGTCAGTGTTGGTCCGGATATTACGCACTGTTGTGGGGGTTAGACCAAGCACAGCGGCCATGTCCACAGCACGTTCCCCTTTTTCAAATCGGGTTAATACGTGCATTTTCGTAGTAAGGCTAATGGTCTTACTTTGCCTCTTCACTACACTAGCATCAGTAACACTTGATGGGTGCTTGGAAGTCATTTCGAATGGGTAGAGTATGGTTTTAGAGCAAAAGCATTGAAGCACACACGAATGATGTGAAGTCGTAACAGAGATTGGCTTGGCGTAGCTTGGGGACGCTGTGAAGTTCCGCGGGTGAGGGCAGCATGCCGAGCCGAGAGAGAGTAGCGCGGCCAGACAAGAGCGGGAGATGCGTGGTAGAAAGTAGTCCGCGATGATGCAAAACGACATAGTATCGGATCACCGGGACGTTAAACAAATTTTTTGTCTCTAAAGTTCAGCGATGTAGTACCGAAACAACATTAAGCAGGACGACGTTAAGCGAGGACTTATTGTACTGTAAAGTACTACTGTGCTCAGGAAAAAAGCCAAACTAGTTCTCTTCTTGACAGGTCTGATACATAACAGTATGACTGTTAATATCATGGAGGAAGTTTATTGAAATATGGTCAGATGAGTTGACTTTTCAAGACCAACAATCATTATTCCATCTGAAGAATTTTATGTAAGGTATACATTTCCTTGAATGTAGATGACATCTTGAAAATAGGCACAAGAGAAGGATGACAGGGTGTTAATATTACATGATCAAGTTAGTGTTCATTTCTGTTTGCAGTCAACCAATTCCATTTTGCAGGACGGTGGATCTCCTGTACTAACAGATGATGTCAGCTTGCAAGTCTTCATGGAGCATCTTAAGAAACTAGCAGTTACATCCAATGCTTAAACAACTCTCCCATAGAAGACTTTCAATTGTAGAGTATTATTTATATAGATAGAGAAATATATGAAGTACAGATACAGATATTCAGTGGTGTGTAAGTAAGTAGTTCATGTATTATGGAAGGCTCAAGAATAACGTTGTTGACACGATCGTTTACCACAATGTTGACACCATTATTTACCTGATTCTTTTATAGGGATTCATAAATTGTGTGTTAGTATTGGGAAGTTGGAGTCAAGTCCAGTAGATGGTAAGAGGCAGTTTGTGATTGAATTAGAATTTATATTGTTATAATAAAAATAAATATTGACAAATTGTTTTCCTGTAAGTTTAAGCAACAGATAGGAACTGAAATAAAACTTTAAATTGTTTACTAACAATCAAGATGTAGATAATCATTACAGTACACCCCAATTTATTTTCTGTCTTCATTCAGATGTCATCCTGTTTATTTTGCTATTTTATTTCATTAATGGAATTGAGTTTGAGGTCAATAGTAATTGTCATCAGTATCTAGGAGTCACCATTCCATAATATGTTGTAGTTGAATGTGAAAACAACAACTAGAGGTTAATAATTGTCACACTATTGGTCATTGTGTAAATTGTGTACTCTTGTATTTTATTAAAATGTCCATTATTATCGGTCATTGAATGAATGTTTCCTGTTTGGATGACACTTTTTTATTTACAGTCCATTTATAACATGGGAACAACACACGTCTGGGAACACTGTATGGCCAGGAACACCCATAGACTTACCTACAAACATGAAGTGGTTTACACCCACTGAATTTACTTCGTATCCCTTAGTTTCTTTGCGAGTTGTTTTACCACACGTAACTGTTGTTTAATTACAGTGTGAGGACTAAATTATTTATATTGCACTTGGTGGCTCTACAGTATCATGCACCTTTTTAAAACAAGAACAACATACTAACATAACTAAGATTAATACAGTCTCTCCTCGACTTACGACGGGGTTCCGTCCCAATGACCAGGTTGCAAGTCAAAAAGGCAAAAATAATACATAGAAATTCTAAAATGGGTGTCTCTTTTTCTTCTCAGCACCACGAGAACTCTCACTTTTACGCTTGCCAGCCATTTTAGAGGGAATTACAAACGAAAATTTTGTCAGTACACAGCACGATCGCTAACTTCGGGACTCAAAAATAGGTAATGTGGAATATATTTTATAAGACCATGGCAGTTGTATGTCCGGGTTGTCGTAAGTCAGAGACTGTAGTTATTTTTTTACCTCCTTTAATAGTTGTATGGTTTACTCAAACACACACAATGTATCCCCAATGATATCCATTCACAAACAAAATACCTACCTAACTACTGTAAAATAGTACCTAATCACTGTAATTTAGTATCTAATTACTGTAATTTAGTTCCTAGCACATTAAGAAATTAATGAAATATAAATTTTGTCCATTACCTTAAGGAAACCATGGCTTCTGTATAGGGAGAAAGTTGTAAAAATAAAATATTTGTATAAGCGAATATTCAGAGATCGAATTTTTGTGTAGTGAGGGATACATGTGACTGGAAAAATAGAAATTTTGAGACGAAAGTACTGGAGGATTTTTCTGCTCGAACTCCCTATATTAACATAGTTTCGTGGTTGTACTCTACCGAATCTTAACCATTTGGTTTTTATGAAATGACACAAAATTGCGAAGATAAAGGTTAGGTTACTGTAGGTTAGGTAAAGATAAGTTGGGTTTGGATTGGTTCGTTTTTTTTTTTTTTTTTTTTACGATACAATTTGGGTTGGATTGCCCAAGAAATATGAAATCTATTAAAAACACATCAAAATATACAGGAAAAACATAATTTTGTCCAAAAATTTGTGGATGGGTAATCCAATAAAGAATAAGGAACCAAAATTTCTAAGTAAATATTTTTTCAAGAATACAATAGTACTGTATTGTGCTCATTTTATATAAGGTATTCTAATGATACTCTGATGTTAACTAGCAGTTCTGAAGAGTAGAACGTTATCAGTACTAAATAAGTGTTCATAAAAATTACCGGAATTAAGTCAACATTGACAGAAGTAGGTGTACGATTCACCTCTATCTTTTGGAAACCAAGATACAGGTTTCTGTTTAAGTTGCTAGAGCACTTAATAGCTGCATAGTTCCAGAACCCCATTGCCGCTACTATAGAAATGTGAAGAAAAACGTTATTTTACTGTACAATATTCTTTGTCTTTCTCCTTTTATGCATTGCCTAGTAATTATTTTGCTTACTCCACAGCCACTTTGGGTGGTGATTGGAGTGAGCCATCCTTCTACAGCATTAGAATCCTTGATGTTACTCAGCCCAGGATTATTTTACTGTCGGCATTGTTTTTTTTTTTGAAGTTTTAAGAAGTCTCTGCAGGCTGGTTTGCCTTTATTCTTGTATGAAGCATTTGTGCCATAGTTCAAGCTTCTGTTGGAAACATTGGCTAATAGGAAATGGAAAGATTTGGTGAAAGTAGTATTTATTTAGTAACGTAAATTATTGTAATGTACTACTCGTTTACAGATTAATATAAAAACTACTAAATTCAATAGAAAACCTCAACCCATTTATATTGTGTAGACATACATAATGTACTATAAAAAAAATTCTTGTATTAATTCATCTGTTAATTGAGAAAATAGATATTTTTGAAAAGTATAAATTAATAGCAAACTTCCTGCAGCTTAATATGCCACACGTGACTACAATATACTGTACGGTTGGGGTCAAATGTTTGCTCCCTCCCAAACTGAAGCAGTTATTAGCCCAAATGAGATAAAACGGCACACCCTCACCAAATGACAGTCAGGGTAAGTCAGTTCGGAGAATCAATCCCATGACTTGGTTTCACCACGAGAGCAAACTTTTGTTTGCCACAGTACATCCATAATCTAATGTCTGTACTTGTTAATACACATACAATAATGGTCTGCATTTAAAATTACCAAATTTGTGGAAATTGTTCTGAAGTCAGGAATGTGAAACCATGAAAATTTAAAGAATGTTTGATAAATGAAAACTAAAATGCTTAAGCAGAGTAGAGTAGACTAACCACTTGTGTACAGGGATCCCCTCTGTGCTGAATAAAATCATATGGTGTTAACTAAATAAACTACTTAACATATTATTTATCAAACTTCAGACTAGTTTAAAAATCTTGCACAAGAGTTAAGGCCATTTCACACCTGAAGTGATGCTAGCTATGCTACAGATGGAAATTATGTGGCTTTGATTGGCTTCTGGTTTTCATTGAGGCTGTTCAGACTGGATATGTAGCATCCCAGATTGCCTCCTCTGCATGCACCCTAGAGCATTTTTGACAGTTGAAGAGACAGCAGCTAGTGCCCTGCTTCAAGGTCATTCCCAACCATATTACCCTTTACTTTTGTGTATCAGTCCAGCCTTTTCTTGGGGCTTATGGACTAACTGTAGTTTGTACCTTGTTTCTTCATATCCTTTTCAATTATTAATAAAACTTCATTGAACGGAGTGTGGGACAGTCTGAAGTAAGATCTAAATTTTTCTTCATCAATAGAAAGCTCCTGCACAAGATGATGGTATTCGCCAAAGTTTGGTCTTTTCGCATTTGTTTCATGTACCCACTTCTTTTTTCTTTTTAGACATTCCTAGAGTCAGCAGTAAAATTTCCTCCTCATAAAACCACTGAGCACTGCCTTTCATCTTGACTGATGCAACAATACTGAGTGTCTCAAGATACATGGCTTGCATATTATCTGGTGTGAATACTTGCATAGTAAGCATCGTGACCAAAAATCCACAGAGTAGCTAGCATCACATCCAGTGTGAAATGGCCTTTAATGTTTGATTCAAAGTTAACCCAAGTTTAGATGGAAATGGACATTAAATGTTGATGAAAATCAATGTCACAGTGATAAAAAATTTTTTGTATACATTATACTATATTGCTCAAATAATTTGCAGGATTAGAATTGAACATATAATCAACTACCTCACCAACCAGGACTCGAACCCTCGACCTACTGAAGTATATATGGTACCTCGTGTTTCATACCAGCTGAATTCGGTAAAATGCTACTGACATCCACATAAGAAGCACGGGTAGTTCCCAAATGGGAGGTTCACGGAGCCATCAGCTCGATGAACAGGCTTTGTGTGAAATATAACAGTCTAGAACTGCTTTTAGTGCTCTTATAGTATGGTCGGTAACGTTCCCTAGTCCCACGCAGTAGGTCGAGGGTTCGAGGAACAATTTGAATAAGGTGCAAAACCTGAACAGAAAACGCATGAATAATTGAAAAAAATAAAATATGATCAGAAATTGTCGAATGTCAATTATTCTGAACAAGGTTATTTAGTTTTTTCCATAATTCCCTTTTTGTTGAATTAACGAGGGTACAGTGTACTTACAGCAAGTAAAAGCAGTATAGTGAGTAATGTCTTTGATCCGTTGTGATTGTCTTTTTATTTATCTTCAATGATTTTTCCATTAACTTCAGTTGGTTCATCAGTGTCCTTATCACCAAGCTTGCCATGTCCAGTTTCCTTATTTTCGATTTTGTCTTTGATGTCCTCTTCAAAGCAATGAAGGATATGCATAATTTGTTTTGCAGATGGTCTCTTGTGTGGTTCAGCCTCAGTGCAAGCATAGAAGATCTCTAACACATGCAGGTAGTCATCATCTAACACAACATTGGGTAGACATGGTCGTGTGCCTGTAAAATAACAATGAAGTTACTGTATTCTTTGTCTTTAATGAAGCGTACAGAGGTGACCGGTTAAATAGAGCCAAAACTGACCTAAACTAATCAATAATATACAAAAAGGTCACAGAAAAATAATAAATATGTTAAGCTGCAGTAAATTCTATCATTGCACAAAAATCCAAAGTACTGTACAGTACTACAAAATTTACTTTTAAAAGAGATAATGAGATATTGTATGGTAATAAAATAATTATACAAGTACACAATACTACTGTACAATGTACTGCAATAAGTCTAAATACTTTTAATTACAAGAATCAATAACTGTTAGATTAGAGTAGGGTATGTTAGTTTAGGTTAATGTTTGATTAGGTTAGGTTAACAGTGGGACAGTTAATCTTCAGGTGAAATCAGATGTGGTGTCTAATGTTTCAGGTGATCCACATTAAACAGTACTGTACCTAATACATTTTGAAACTCTGAAACATCGCTGTCGTCCAGGTCACTCTGCCTCACATCATCGGGTATAGTGTCATTGACCTCCAATTTGTCAATGTGGGGAGGCCTAAGGGACAACATCTCCCTGAAATAATAAATTTTTTGTTAATTCTTTAAACTATTATGGTTATTATGAAAATTAACCCCTAGCTTATATCACTTGATGATAAAACACCCAAACACCATCTGGGAGGGTTAGGGTAACATTGGAGTTAACGTTTAATTGACAAATGAAATAAGCTAGGGATATTAATCTCCATATGATTCCAAGTACTGTCTTGAATAAATAAGTTATTGTTTGAGACTGAACATTTGTAAGGCAACTTTTACACTGCAATGACATTCCACAAAATACTGTACACCATGTACACACGTCCTGGGATATATTTTACTGCAAAACTAATGGACCTTAAACTTATTGAGTAAACATGACTGTATTATGTGACAGCAAAATCCATGACTGACGGCTGTAATCCAACGTGTACACTGCAACACTAGAATATGCATGATGTATTTGTTCACCAGTGTATGTGTAATTTTGATCCCATAGGTTTGCATAATCATTATTCCACCTCACTATGTACTTCACTTCAGCTAAGTCACAAAAATAACTTTAAAAATTACACTAAGACTCTATCATGTTTAGTTGTATTTATTTAGCACTACAGTGTAATTAAGAGGACCAGATAAATGCATAGTGCCTCTGGAAAGCTTCTTGAAGTTGTTATTATTCCAGCAAATGCTGCAGAGGCAATCTATTCAATAAATTTAATATCATAACTTTCATTATTCGCTTCAAAGTACTAAATGCAAACAAAATTAAAAGTAAAATACGTATGTGACTGTAATTTGAGATGGGGAACTGTGGTAATGTGACATTATAGTAACTGTAATGTACACACCTAGCTACAACTGAAATATCTTGGTGAGTGTACTGTACCCATAAAGCTGTTCAAGCACCTCCCCATGATATAAATACCTGTACATGTACAGTAGAAGTGGTCTTCTACTTACAAACAAGCCTGTCCATATGTCCAACAGACTGTTCAAATATACCTGTACAAGCTATTTATACATTAAAATACTGCTATAGGCTGTTAAGATATACTGTAGAGTAATGTATTTATTAATGGGGTATAGCTGTAGTACTGTACAATCTAAATTTTTTCCCATTTTTTACAATATGTTCAGTGTCTACAGAGTAAAGTTGGACCTATGAACAAGCCTCAGGAACATAACCCATTCACAAGTAGAGGAGCACCTGTATAAGTTCCCAAATTAGTCTGCAGCAAAAGAGTAAATCATAATACAGTACAGTACTCCTGGGGGCTGGACACTAAAAAAATAGTTCCACATTATTTACCACAGAATGAGGCCAAAGGAGAACATATCCGACTTGTGGGTTACAGTTTCACCTATCAGAGCCTCAGGAGCTGACCAACACTCTGTGCCCACATACTCCTGGTCTTCATCACATGCCACTCCCTGTAACACATAAGTGACCACATATTGGTCATAAGCTGTGTCAGCACAAGTTGACCACAAAGTGTTCAGTCAGTCACACAATTCATATACTATACAGTACTGTATATGGAATTGACTCACACAATAAATATTGGAAAATAATCTAAAACTAGGCTGCTTATTTCTTACTTTCCAAATGACCATAAAATGTGTTTTTAGTTTCAATTCAGCAATATGAAAGTTCTATGAAGTCAGAACAAGAACCAAAATAAATCAACAGGAGACAATTTGTAATACTCACATATTCATTCAGTTTCAGAGTTACTCCAAAATCACAAAGCTTTGCAACCTCAAAATTACCCTTAATGAGAATGTTAGAGCTCTTCAGGTCCCCGTGAAGTAAATGCTTCTCTTCGTGTAAGTATGTCAGAGCCGAGGAAATGTCCCTTGCCACCTAGAAATAAGTTAATTTTCTCAAACAATTAAGACTACAACTACAGTATCAAACTATGAAAACAGTAGTATAATATAGAATAGAAAAATTTGACTCTAAACTGTATGTTACTGACTCTTATCTTGAATATAGTATAGAGATTACTAAAAAATTATCATCAATGTTTTATGATCATTTCTACCATGCCAGCAAATGACATGACAATATCTAAAAGTACAGTACTGTATATACAGCACAGTACAGTACAACATATACAGCTACTCCTCGACTTACGACCACCTGGACATATGACCGCCCCAGTCGTACCAAATTTTTTTCAAATTACGTATTTTCGAGTCCCGACGTTAGTGATTGCGCTGTGTACTGACAAAATTTTCGATTGTAATTCCCTTTAAAACGACTGGCAAGCTTAAAAGTGAGAGTTTTGTGGTGCTGAGAAGAAAGAGAGACACATTTTAGATTTTCCATGTATTATCTTTGCATTTTCGACTTACGAACTGGATTTGGATCCCTAACCCCATCGTAAGTTGAGGAGCAGCTGTATATAACAATATTTCAATATTTTGAAAATGTTACACACAGTATCCACAATTGTAATCCCTTTTTTTTTCAGTAATAAGATTCTATAGCTGTACCTTAAGAATTTTTTGTGGTGAGAACGGCCCGAGGTCTGCCTCTTGCCAAGCCTCAATTAAGTCCGCCAGAGACTTTTCTCCACTCTCCATGGCTAAGCACTGTGACCCATCCTTGTTGTGTTGGTAAGAGCGATAGCCAATAATATTCTTGTGATTCAGATTCTTCAAAATGTCTGCTTCAAAACTTAGCCTCTTGGTATATTCTCCAGTTCTGTCTTTTATCTTCCTGTAAACACCAGAGAGAAAATAATACACAATCTATTGAAATTATATTAATACATAAGAAACCCACAATGGCAGACAAAATGAGGGTTTCTTCTCATACACTGTTGTTCACTTTATGGTCACATTAATACATGGTTCTTTTATGATAACTGTAATGTATCACATAACACACCCCAGATTAACTCCCCTGATGACTTAACACCTTAATGCTAACCTAATCCTCCAGATAGCATCAAGGTGTTTAATTACACTGGGGAAAAAGAAAGTGCCTAAACTTCAGGTGGTCCTGTTCCCCCTCACATAATACTCACAATTTTCATCTGGTTTACTAAATATATCCGTCACTTCACACAACCCAGTAACCCTACCACCATCATCACCAATGCTACAATCATCACCAACGCTACCATCATCACCAACACTACCACCATCATCACCACCAACACTACCATCATCACCTACACTACTACCATCACCACCACCATAGTTTACAGCTATTTTCCACACCTGCATGGGTTAGCTGTGATTCCCTAAGAGCAGCCACCATGAGGCAAGCGATGTAGTACAGTATTTGGATGGCCGATAAATAAATATTGTATTTCTTTATCAAACCTTGACATTCTAGCCTCTATCAAGCAAGTGTTTTAATAGTAAGTCTCTATCAAAAGGTTTAACAATACTATACCTGTTTAACTTCTTAACAGCCCAAGGAGAGCTATAACAGTCATGTATAGGTGAGAATCGCTCCATCAGGTAAACTGTAACACCTGGAAAACACAAAAACAAACATAGTACTAACTAATCTATTTATTACCTCTGCTCTTCCCCCACTTCTGAGTTGGGTGGATCAAAGCACAGTATACAGAAACCTGAAAAAGAAACGAGGGAGGGTAACTGTGTTGAGGAATGATGCAACACAAGTGGAAAGGGCGACATAAAAGCCAATATTATAAGAGAGAGAGTGAGAGTGTTGGGTGTGCAGGTTTAGAAATATGAGTTGTCATATACTGTACTGTAGAGTTTGTATAACTGGGAGTCCCAAGCGATCTGGGAGACACTGTTCTCTCTCTCTCTCATCTGTACCTTGTTTATTTCTTGTATTTTGGAAGTGTTACCTGTTTACAAATGTTCTTAATGATAAAATTATCTAACTTGTTCAGGCCATTATACTCAAATTCATTTTGACAGATTTGGTATGTTTAATGAGACTAAATTCTATAATGTTCCTATTGACACCTTCTCATGTGGTGCTCCTCCAAGCGTTATGGTGTGGAGTAATCGTCTCCCAGGTGAGGGGGTCGATTTGGCACCTTTTCAGGTTTGTCTTTAAGACTATCCTTATACCTTTTCAGTTGCCCGCCAACGTTACGTTTACTATTCGTTAGGTGACTGTAAAGTAGCTGCTTTAGCAGTCTACTGTCGTCCATGCGGGTAACATGGCCAGTCCAACGTAGTTGTTAATGAAAAATGGTAGCCTCGATGCTTCTACAGTCAAGTGTCAGCGAGAATACTGGCATTTGTTCTCTCGTCTTCCCAGCGAACTTGAAGGATGAAATGCAGACTACATTGGTGAAAGTTTTCAAGTGCCTTGAGGTGCCTCCTGTATGTGACCCATGTCTCGCTGCCATATAGCAGGGTGGGGAGGACTACTGCTCGATATACGCGCAACTTTGTAGATAATTTCAACTCCCTACAGCTGAAGACACTGGTACGGAGTCTGCCAAAAGCTTGAGATGCACATCTGATCTGATGTTGAATCTCTTCATCGATGTCAGCGGTGGTGGACAAGTGGGAGCTGAGATACCGAAAGTGGGTAGGGTAACATTAGAGAGGGTAGTACCATTAAGCTGGATGGATGGTTGAGGTGTTGCTGAACGAGGGGCAGGCTGAAAGAGAACCTGAGTCTTACGTACACCCACTAAAAAATTATTCGGCACCCTTGTCATATTGTATCATGCCGTAAGGGTGCCGAATAATTTTTTAGTGGGAGTACATTCACCTCATGGCCAAAATGTGCATACGTATCACACATAGTACAGTACAGTGGTCCCTCGGTTAACGAACGGTTCGATTAACAAAATTTCAGTTAACGAATTAGCTCCCATAAGGATTTTCAGTTCGATTTACGAAATCCTTACGACAAACACGTTTTGTTGTGAACATCAGCTGATCGGCTAGTCCGCCAATACAGTAATTGGTTCTACGTTTACATTCGTTTCCAGTGAAGTAAATATCAAGAAAGTTGGTCTCTTGAATTTTTCTGCATTTTTTATATTAAAATTAATGGTCATTCTGAAATTTAGTTAACATATTGATAATATATACTGTGCAGAAATTATTATGAAACATGAAGAAGGCATTAGAACCAATGTAAAGAATATGGAAAGTCATCATCGACTACCTCTACAATCAGCTGTTTGATATGTAAACAAAGCTGGCGGTAATACGACATACACACCTCAAAGTAAGTTAAAATACAGTACTGTATTCTATTGTTTTTTTTATTTATTATTGTACAGTATACTGTGCAGTACAGTACTATATTTAGATTACCTGTATATTTAATGTTTTGTTAATTCTATTACTGGTATACAGTACTTTGTATGTACTTTTTCTGTGAGTTGGGACCAATTACCCAATATCCCATTGAAATAATAGATTCAGTTAACAAAATTTTCGGTTAACGAATGACTTTGTGGAACAAATTGTGTTCGTTAACCGAGGGGCCACTGTACTGTAGTTCCTTCTACTGTACCCACAAGTAATGATTTTCTTTACATGTATATTATTTCTGAAGAAACTTACAATAGTGAGTAAATGTATTAAAAAATACAAAACTACCATATCTTATTAATTTTTTCTCCTCCATCTCATTCTAAAATCAATTAACACACTTTTCTCACCTGTGCCATATCCCAGCTGCTTCATGCAGGGAGACGGTGGGATAACCAGCTTGTTTGGCGTCTCTTGCGTGTTTGGCATGACTGATTTCGTCTTCTTGGATATTGGTGTCTTAAACTCTGCCATCCTCTTCTGTAAATCAAGAATTCTATAAAAATGTGGGAAAATACCAGAATATTACCTTTACAGTATAATTTATTTATTTCATTTCAATATAATTTAATCAAACTCCTGTACAGTGCTTAGTTACATTTTCCACAATACTGTCCAGATTTGCCAGGTATATTGTACCGTATTGTACACTGTCTCCGGATATCGGATAAACCAGACGAAATCTGAGTTAAGCGAGGGACTGTCCGTGTCAAATTTCTGGTTCTGGGATTGTCCGATAGATGGCTCACGTGCGCCAGACCGCCAGTCATTGTTGACTTTTAGCGCCTTATTCGAGTATCAGTGTTGTGATGCCCTGCAATTTTCGTTGATATTTCAGTGATTAGGCATCTTTCAGCCTTGTATTTTACATCATGTCTTCAAGAGGGAGTAAAACGCTGAAGAGGAAGTGTGTGACCCTTTCTGTGAACCAGAAACTGGAACTTATAAGAAAGTTAGAGGTTGGTGCTTCGGTGTCTAGTTTGTGATGAGTATGGTGTTAAAAAGCAAACAGTTTCGGACATACGCAAGGCTAAGGACAAACTCATTGCATTTTCTTTGAAGTAATATAATGTTGATGCAACTTCTAAATCATCATCTGTTGGTGCAAGGAAGCGTATGAGTGGCAAAAGATACAAATCTTGAGGAGGCAGTGACGAAGTGGTTTATGCAGCAACGATCCTGTGGTAATGTCGTCCGTGGTGTAGAAATTCAAGCTGCTGCTGCTAAGCTAGCAAGTCATATGGGCATCGAGAATTTCGAACCTTACCTTACCTTACCTTACCTTACCTTACCTTACCTTACCTTACCTTACCTTACCTTACCTTACCTTACCTTACCTTACTTTACTTTACTTTACTTTACTTTACTTTACTTTACTTTACTAATCTAACCTAACCTAATGTAATCTAACATAACGTAACCTAACCTAATGTAATCTAACCTAACCATGTTTGCAAGTGAATTAACCCAGTAAATAAGCGTCATCACTCTTCATCAAACAGATCGAACATAAGTAAAGGTCAGTGATTAGACAAATGCTGTAATTATCATACTGTATTTACATAACTGAGCGTCTATTCTGAGTCAAGAAACGTTAGGTTAGGTTAGAAATGAAACTTTAAAAAGTCAAATTGAAGTTGTAAAGTCACATAGCTATATTTCAAACATAATTTAAAATAGGAATTATTGACGACTGACCCGCCGCTCTGAAATTCCTAAATCACCCAAACTAATTCCACAATTGTGCAGGTTTAAGAAAATGCTCGTCAATTTTTTTTCTCCAGATGTTAGAGATGAATGTGACAATATTCCTCGGTAAATAGGATCATCTCAAGACTTGTCCACAGTTTATATCACCACAAGATCAACTGAATGCCACTAAACTGATGCCTGGGTGCTGAAAATGTTGTGGGCATACACGTTCTATTAAGATATCAGGGAAGACTTGGGGAATGTTTAGGCATATTTAGGCATAGTAACTTCTTTCTGTTTAATATACCATGGAAGTTAATTGGTGAAGAAGATAAAATAACCCCAAAACAAGTAATAAAACACCTACTGACATAGCTGGTACTCGAAAAGGTTCCCTCCTTCTCACCCTCGAGGCTAAAGTGACCATCTTCTCCCGCTTTCATTAATTCAAATCTATATATAAGTAAAGGAATAATAATTTACTTTGATAAAATGATTTTGTAAATATAAAAAGGAATAAGTAAATAAATAAAGGTGGATAGGGATAGAAAAAAATATGTACAGTATATTGCAAAAGTCCCTGTCAATTTGCTCTCAATTGTTGCGAAAAGACGTTAAGAAAAATTATATATTTTTTTAAAAGTGGTCTTACGAAAATAGAGGTGCAATTAACCACAATAATTCCAAAGGGCCCTATCAGAAATAAACGGCTTAATTGCCTATCTTTGGTTACCTTGTAGTGGATCCCTCCCCCTGAGTAACTGACCCCGCTAATTCCTCGTGGTCTAGGTCAACCAGCGTCGCCTTACATGACTGAGGTCAACTATCTACCCACGCCATAGGACTCTGGGTGTACCCACAAATCCCACTGACCACAGCCTATGTACTGTACACCGTATACCTGTATGACAATTTCACTGAATTAATATTATTATTATTGTTACCGGCAAGTGTACTGCAGTCCCACACCCTATTATATACCATATACCTGCATTTTCTACATACATAGTAAATTGTATTTCTTTATAATCTATATATACATGGCAATCCATGTGTATGACAATGTTACTGAATAAATAATAATATTTTTTATTTTGTATCGCTGGGAACTGAGGTGGTTAAGGGAGAATGAGCCGTGACCCGAGGTTGAGGCGACCATCCAACTCAAGTGTAAACAGTGTGGCGACAACCGTGGGTGAGGCAGGGTGTAGTGTGGTTCATCACCCTCTCTTACCTATTATACCTGACTTTTTATTTTTATTTTACGATTATAATATTATGAATACTTTACATTGAAGATGAAACTAGTTAATTTATAAGTTGTACTTCATCAAAAGCCATTTGATTGTTGTAGTGACTGTGATGAAATACAGGTCGCGATTCATGTCTTCAAAAACCTTGATGGAGTGACCTGCTGACCAGCGAAGACGTGGATGTGTAGGTGGTGAAAACAGGTGTGCGGTACCTCATGGTTGTCTCCACAGCTAATATGCACCTGCAAGGCAGTTTTTATATTCTGAAGAAGAGATGCAAAGTGACGCTCACACATGACGGCATCAGCTGGGTACCTGAAGGCAACCCGGAGTGTGAGTATACCTGTTGGTTTACCTTTGTTTACTCTACCTGTTGGTTTACCTTTGTTTACTCTACCTGTTGGTTTACCTTTGTTTACTCTACCTGTTGGTTTACCTTTGTTTACTCTACCTGTTGGTTTACTGTACTCATTGGTTTACATCTGTTAACGGAACCTGATTGGTTACCTTGTTTAATGTACTTACCTGATGGTTTACATCTGTGTTTGCTGTACCTGTTGGTTTACTGTACCTGTTGGATTACCTCTATGGTTGCTTGCTAGGGGATCGTAGTTTACAATACCATCTTGTGAGAAGGAGCAACTTTAGGGAAAAATTGGGTAAATATTTAGGGTAGAAGTTCCCAACACTTATGTATTTAGTCTTGTATAGGGAGAAAGAGAAGAAGCTAAAAATAATTTATTTTATAGCTTTTCTGTTGGAAAATTATATTTTTAGAGTATTTAATTGATAAAAAAAACTACTAATGAAGAGGGTATGGTGGCCAAGCTGGAACACCCATCCCCCATTGGCACCAGTCATCACATAATGTTGTCCTTCAGATTTAACTTACTTTTCTCATGACAAAACCAGGCCAAGGTTCAAATATTACAAAGGTAATTCCAATGGGATGAGGAAGGTGAGGGGTATTCACTGGCCTGACTCGCTAAGGTACCGACCTGACCTAGCTTTGAGAAGGATTTGCCTCTGTGTGCTCGTGATAGTGACCATAGAAAATGGCTGCCGTGGGCCATTGTGTTGTGGGGGAAGAGGGATGGTGTGTGGGTAGAGACAACTCCCCGGCCACTCTGTTGAGTGAGCTGGAGCAGTTGCTGAGAGAGAGATGGACATTTTGAAAGGGGAAAACGAAGCCCTCAGGACTGAACTCCTTCAGGTGGGTGTCCTGTCTAGCAGGATACAGTACCTACGAAGGAGGGTCAGGAGGAGCAGGAGTGGAGAGCGGTTGTCTCCAAGTGGACTAAGGTCAGATTCCGGAAAGCTGACCAGGGCGTGGAGTGCCGTAACTCCTACCAAGTGTTGGAGGAAGAGAAGAGGCAGGATGGTGTGGTGGCAGGAGAGGAAAGGGCAGTTGGTCAAACCTTGCCCAGTGGTAAGGTCGTGGTAGTTGGGAACAGCCAGGTTAGGTTCTTAGAGAGGACCTTTTGTGCAATAGATAGGAAACGTAAGACTAGGGTGTGTTTTCCTGGGGCTGGGATAGGGCATGTAGCTGAGAGGTTAGACAGGGTTTTGTCAGGGGAGGGTACCAAGCCAGTAGTGTGTCTTAGTGTAGGAGGTAACGACATAGGAAAGGTTAGGAGTGAGGAACTTTTCAAGAGGTATAGGGAGGCGCTGGGGAAGGTTAGAGATAGGGGAGGGATCCCGATAGTATGTGGTGTCTTGCCTAGAAGAGGAGATGGCGATGAATGGCTGTCCAGGGCAATTGCTATAAATTGCTGACTGGAATAACATTGTGGAAGCAATGGTTGGGCGTGCATTGATAACTGGCGACGATTCTATGGCAATGACTACCTGTACAGTTGTGACGGGGTACACTTGTCTCGTGCGGGTGTAAAGACGTTGTCTGCATCCCTGGAGCGTGAAATTGTCACTCGAATGGGGGAGTTTCGCCAGTAGAGAGAGGTCAGGGTAAGTGGGAGTAAAAAAACAAGCAGGTCCTGGGAAGTAAAATTGGTTACTCAGGACAAGGGGTAAAACAGGACCAGGGAAGGGTAGGTTTAAATGTATACTATACAAACAGTAGCAGCGTTTGAAATAAAATAGACTTGCTGATCGCGGTTGTATGTATAGTACTGAGAATGTAGACGTCATAGCAATCACCGAAGCTTGGATGAATCTGGCGAGCAAAAACTTTTTATCAGAATACCACATAGAAGGGTACAACCTTTTTCACAAGGACAGGGAAGGTAGGAAGGGGGTAGGGGTTGCACACTTTGTCAGGGATACATTAAAATCTTATATTAATAACACAATAAAGGATGAAATAGGAACCGAGTCTGTATGGGTAGAAACTGCAGAAGGAAGAGAAAAACTAATTATGGGAGTGATTTACAGGCCCCCCAAGTCTATGGAAAGAAGCAGCTCAGCCCATATGGCAGGAAATGAGTAGGGCAGCAAGATACAATGACCTGTGCATTATGGGGGATTTCAATTTCAGAAATATTGATTGGGACAACATTAAAGGTGACTATGAATCTGAAGACTTACTAGATGCAGTACAGGAAATTTTTTTAAAACAACTAATTATAGAACCTACTAAAGGTGACAATATATTAGACCTAGTAGGTAGTAGGCAGCTAACAAACAGGGAGGTACTACCGCTTGGGAAGATATTGGAAACATAATGTGTTGTCCACTGATAGACCCTGCTGCCATATGTGACCAAGTCCCAGGTTGATGATCTGTCTTTCTGCCTCATTTACACACAATTGCAGGGTCTCAATTGTTTCTCTTGCTATTGACAACACAACATTCATAAATCGTTTCTCTATTGATCTCTTTTTAATTTTTGTATTTATTTTTGGTTCTTTATTATTATCATCATCATCAATGTTGTTGTTACTATTATTATTATTATTATTATTATTACTATTACTATTATTATTACTATTATTATTATTATTATTATTATTATTATTATTATTATTATTATTATTATTACATTTTTGCCCCCCAGTCCTCGATGTGGGTCAGTGACCTGTACCCGGGTGGGCTAATCCTGTAAAAAAATAAAATAAAAATATTATCAGAGATATCACAATAGGGGGAAGAACTATGGAACAGTGATCAGAGAAATCAGGTTTACCCTAAATTGGGAAACAAAAAATAATGAAAATATGGTCAGAGGCCCTGACTTTCGATCGGTGGATTATGAGGGGTTAAGAAGGTACCTAGATGAGGTCACCTGGGAACGGTCAGGTCAGTCTCTGGTAGGAATGGGTGAGGTCACCAGCAACACAACAGTTGATGACGACTATACTAAATTCACTAGTATACTACGTAAAGCACAGGAACAAAATATACCATACATAAAAATTTGGTCAACTATGAATGAGCTGAAGTGGATGACCAGAAAACTTAAACATGGCATAGGAATAAAGAAAGGAATTTATAAGAAACTAAAGGGAGGGGAGGAGCATCTCAGAGATAGGTATAAGGAACTATCTAGGAATGTTAAGAAAAATGTACGGAAGGCAAAGAGGGACTACGAAATCAGGATAGCAAGAGAATCCAAGACGAATCCCAGGGGATTTTTCCAGATAAAGGTCAAAGACAAAGTGGGGCCTTTAAAGTCAGAGAGAGGGGAAGTGATTGATGATTGTGAGAAAAAAAGCAAAGCATTAAACAGCTACTTCTTATCAGTTTTCACAGAAGAAATTCATGAGGAAATGCCAGAGGGGTCACAGCTCAAGATTGAAGAAGCCGCAAGTCCGGAAAACCGTGAGGGCAAACTTTTTCGGAGTGAGGGTTGTAAACTCTTGGAACAATCTACCAGAGAGTGTTGTGACGGCACCGAGTGTGAGCTCTTTCAAGAGAAGACTTGACCAACACTGGAGCGGGTTCAGGTACATTCAGGAGCCGGTGCATGCCCAGTGCGTGACAGAGACGTGACCGATCGCCCGGGCGGCTAGCGAGCCATAAAGGAAAAGAGACGTGACCGATCGCCCAAGCGGCTAACAAGCCGATCAGTGGCGAAGAGGAAAAAGTAAAAAAAAAAGTAAAAGTATTTAGGGAAAAATGAAGAAGAAATAAACCTTGTACGATAAAGATTTGAAAAACAGGCAAATGTAGTATCCATATTCAAAAAGGGAGACAGAGCATCAACGTCAAATTACCGGCCAATTAGTTTGACATCAGTAGTGGGGAAATTTCTTGAATCAATTATAGCAAATAGCATCCGATCGCATTTAGAGAAAAACAAATTAATCTACGACTCTCAATGTGGATTTACAAATGGAAAATCTTGTCTAACAAATTTGCTGACGTTTTTTAGGAAAGTCTTCGAGGTAGTAGATAATGACGAAAATTACCATGTTATTTACTTAGACTTTAGCAAAGCATTTGACAGAGTACCGCATCAGAGTCTTCTGAGAAAAGTTAAGGATCATGGTATCTAGGAAAATTTTTAATTGGATAGAATCATGGCTCACCGACAGAACACAGAGGGTCAGCGTAGATGGTGTTAAATCTGATTGGGGCTGTGTATCTAGTGGGGTTCCCCAGGGGTCAGTACTGGGCTCACTCTTGTTCATAATCTACTTCACCTTACACAAGGATGTAGGGGGGGGGGGTTGCCCAAAAAAAAAAAAATATCTACATAAACGATCTAGAAACTGGGATCAGCAGTGATATAAGCAAGTTTGCGAATGACACCAAAATAGGGTGGCAGATTAATTCAGGGCAGGATGCAAATGCACTACAGGAGGATTTAAATAAACTGCAGGAGTGGTCAGAAAAATGGCAAATGAAATTCAACACCAGCAAGTGCAGCGTACTTAATAATGGAAGAACAAATACTGTCAATGTATACAGCCTTAACAACATCCAACTAGAGAAGTCGACTTGTGAAAGAGACTTCGGGGTAATCGTAAGCCCGGACCTTCAGCCTAGAAAACAGTGCGTTAATGTTCGAAATACAGCAAACAGAGTACAGTGGTCCCTAGGTTAACGAGCACAATTTGTTCCCGAAGGTTGCTCGTTAACCGAAATCATTGTTTCAATGGGTTTTGGGTAATTGGTTCCAGCTCACCGAAAACTGCCTAAAGTCAACAAAAAAGTGAGTAAAGTACACTTACTTTGAGGTGTGTATCTAGAAGGTTCCTGGATGATGATGATGGGAATTAGAAGTGGGGGTGGAGGAGAAGGGAGAAGAGAAGGAAGTGGGGGTGGAAGAGAAATCACCCCATGGTGCCATTTCACCCATAAAATTTTAGTTCGCTTGGTGTAATTCAAGATTATTTTCTTTAAATCAACACTGCACTGCATTATATATTGTC